GTTTAGTTTCACAATTTTGTCCGCTGGACAACCCCTATTTTTTAGGGCGGTACGAAGTTCGCTGGGTCAGCTATTATGCTACCGCGGCCCTCACGGACCGCGTCGAAATTCCTCTAGCCATTCTTAAGCTGCAAGGCAGCGCCATCTCTTCGCATTATAGGTAACCCACAATGTCAAATGAATACTTTTACAAGTATTAAACATTTGAAAGAAGAAATAGCAATTATAGTTACAATTTTTATAATTTTAAAGCATGTGACTGCTTGATGTTTTCTAGTCCTATTTTCTTTAGATTTAAACATCAAGCAGTCACATGCTTTAAAATTATAAAAAATGTAATTATACTCAACTGTTAAACACTGGATTTAGATATAAGCTAACTACCGAATTACATCTATAAAATGTCAAAGAATAACTCACGGCAAAAACTCTTTAGACAAACGAATCCCGAAGACTTCCGGTTGTTTTCGATAATACTTGTGTATTGCGACCACCAGTAATATCGATTTTGAAACCTGTAACTTCATCAGTTAATTTAAGACTTTTTGATGGGAGCTATAAGGGCTAAGTCTATTGAAATGAAATGAAAAGTCATTTATTCAGTCTAGGCTGTTACAAGCACTTGTGAAGGTCAAGAAGCTACGCCATCGGTTCGCAAAACTACGGCAGGAGACCTTGTACTGAGAAGAACCGGCAAGAAATTCAGCAAGGGCTGCTTTTTTCTCCTATACTCTGTATTGATATATACAGAGTCGTCAAGTTGAAAAATTACTTCAGACATACTTCTGAAGTCACCTATATATAAGCTATAAACGTTTGAGGTTCTATAGTGAGCACAGATTTAAAGGTCCTAGTTTGTATATAATAGGGGTGATGACGGAGTACAGTAAACGAAATTCTATTTAGTCCGTCAGTTAGATGTTAAAAAAATAATGGACACGTATTTTTTCTTTGGGCAATCAACCAAAAAATTACAAAGTTATAACGCGTCAAAGTTTGGGAGTAGGGGCTCGTGACGTCACCTTTAAGTGAAAATTGTACCAAAACGTGACGTCATGCGACTTTTCAAATCAATATATCTCTGCAACGTTTATATTATGTGAAAAATGAAAAAATACGTGTCCAATACGTTTTGATAATCTACCTGATAAACGAAGAAAAAAAATAGTCATCATTCCTATTACCTATTATTGTCTTAAGAATTTTAATGTTCTCAGAAATATAACAAAGTTTGATACTTATTAAAGTGACGTGTTGCTTTATTCTATTCCTAACGACCATAAAGTACCAGCTTCAAGTCTAATTATTTATAAACATTACTTAATGTTTACTGTAAAATTTCGAACGTGGAAGAATAAGGTGAAGAAAAAGGAGAGAAGTATAGTATTTTCGTTTAAACAGCTATATGTTGATGCTTACTTCTCAGTTTATGAATATCAGAGTGTCAATATTATAGATGAGCCGAAGTGGAGTAGGAGAAGGAGATTGAGATAGGTCGGGGTTGGCCAGGGTTGTTTTTGGAGGCGAGATTTTGAGGGGCGTTCAAGTTCGAAAATCCAGTGGCTTAAGTGGTTTTGAAGGGCTACTAGGCTATTTGGGTCTGAGAGAGAGAGAGAGAGAGAGAGAGAAGAGAGAGAGAGAGAGAAAGAGAAGAGAGAGAGAGAGTTGGCTCAACTATAGGGAGTTACGAAAATTGGCTCACATTTTTTTTATATTGTGTCTTTTGTTAATTTAATACTTGTAGTTGTGTGGATTTCGATAGCTTTGATGAGCCAAAGAGGTGAGAGTTGGTAAGATGAAATACCACTGTCAGCTCCAAATTGCTAAGGGTACTGTCAGGGGTTCAAATAAAGCATTAAATATAGAGAAGCTCGATGGCGCAACTGGTTAGCGCGTACGGCTGCGATCGTTGAAGTTACGCAACTTTCGCAGTGGTCGGTCATTGGATGGGTGACCAAAAATTTATTATCTCGAGCTCCTCCGTGCTTCGGAAGGCACGTTAAGCCGTTGGTCCCGGTTGCATCTGCAGTCGTTAGCACCCAAAAATCCGCACTGGGCCCGTGTGGTGGGGCATGGCCCAATCTCCCTATTCCATTCATAGGGAAGGCCTGTGCGCCAGGAGTGGGGATATTAATAGGCTGATGATGATGATTAAATAAAGAAAGGAGTGTCGAATCAACCGACGGTCGGCGCTGATTATACGTTCATCGTTTTCGCTTATTCAATAAATTCCCAAGCAATATCTATAAGTTAACCATAAATAAATTCAAAGATACTATCAAAAAGCTTATTACAAAGTATCTGATTATATTACAGACAAAATACTTGGGTTTGAACTGTTCCGAACATTCCAACAGTATTTCTATATGAAACTAAGCATGATTGTATTGACGTTATAACAAAATAATGATTTGTTGTTTTAATGTTGTGGAGTTTTTTTCGCTCGTTTTTCTCCGTAGCTTTCATGTTCGGTTTTTCTTTCATCGATGAAGCATCGACAATGAATCACTGCGCCGATCATTACCCGCGGGTTGCACGACAGAAGTGATAACTTAAACTATCCTATTTTAAGCACAGGCGATTGGCAGGTGGAAAGAGGTTGGAGGGTGAAAAGGAGATTGGACGGTGCCATGATCCACCACGTGGGCCCAGTGCGGATTGGTGGGTGCTAACGACTGCAGATGCAGCCGGGACCAACGGTTTAACATGCCTTCCGAAGCAGGGAGGAGCTCGAGATAGTAAACTTTTGGTCACCCATCCAATGACCGACCACTGCGAAAGTTGCTCAACTTCAACGATCGCAGTCGAACGCGCTAACCACGCGGATGAAAGGGATTCGAGGGTAATAAGGGGATTGGGTGAGGAAGGTGGGTTGGTCTGGGGACACCCCTCTGGCACCTGTGGGCCAATCACCTAACCAGATTGCTTTGTTAAACGCTATCGCTTACGATTTCATTTTGTTATTTCTAACCGCCGAAGGTTTTCAAATACCTCACGCTCATTTTCTTTAACATTGTTATTACCAATGCAAAAGAAAAAAAAAGAGCGCGAGGCATTTGAAAACCTCAGGCGGCTAGAAATAACAAAATGAAATCGTAAGCGATAGCGTTTTCCAGAGCAATCCAGTTAGGCGATTGGCCCCCTGGACAGGCTGGCTATGGCGTCTACCTCCTCGCGGCGAAGCGAAGCCATACAGCCTGGCACCGTAACGCGTTACGTAACGAAGCGGTACTCACACAGTCAACAGCAGGTCGGGCAGCAGCGCGCATACAGGAGTGAGGGGGAGGGCCAGCCAGAACAGGCTGGCTATGGCGTCTACCTCCTCGCGGCTAAGGGAATCCAGCCTGGCGCCGTAACGCGTTACGTAACGGAGCGGTACTCACACAGTCAACAGCAGGTCGGGCAGCAGCGCGCATACAGGAGTGAGGGGGAGGGCCAGCCAGAACAGGCTGGCTATGGCGTCTACCTCCTCGCGGCTAAGGGAATCCAGCCTGGCGCCGTAACGCGTTACGTAACGGAGCGGTACTCACACAGTCAACAGCAGGTCGGGCAGCAGCGCGCATACAGGAGTGAGGGGGAGGGCCAGCCAGAACAGGCTGGCTATGGCGTCTACCTCCTCGCGGCTAAGGGAATCCAGCCTGGCGCCGTAACGCGTTACGTAACGGAGCGGTACTCACACAGTCAACAGCAGGTCGGGCAGCAGCGCGCATACAGGAGTGAGGGGGAGGGCCAGCCAGAACAGGCTGGCTATGGCGTCTACCTCCTCGCGGCTAAGGGAATCCAGCCTGGCGCCGTAACGCGTTACGTAACGGAGCGGTACTCACACAGTCAACAGCAGGTCGGGCAGCAGCGCGCATACAGGAGTGAGGGGGAGGGCCAGCCAGAACAGGCTGGCTATGGCGTCTACCTCCTCGCGGCTAAGGGAATCCAGCCTGGCGCCGTAACGCGTTACGTAACGGAGCGGTACTCACACAGTCAACAGCAGGTCGGGCAGCAGCGCGCATACAGGAGTGAGGGGGAGGGCCAGCCAGAACAGGCTGGCTATGGCGTCTACCTCCTCGCGGCTAAGGGAATCCAGCCTGGCGCCGTAACGCGTTACGTAACGGAGCGGTACTCACACAGTCAACAGCAGGTCGGGCAGCAGCGCGCATACAGGAGTGAGGGGGAGGGCCAGCCAGAACAGGCTGGCTATGGCGTCTACCTCCTCGCGGCTAAGGGAATCCAGCCTGGCGCCGTAACGCGTTACGTAACGGAGCGGTACTCACACAGTCAACAGCAGGTCGGGCAGCAGCGCGCATACAGGAGTGAGGGGGAGGGCCAGCCAGAACAGGCTGGCTATGGCGTCTACCTCCTCGCGGCTAAGGGAATCCAGCCTGGCGCCGTAACGCGTTACGTAACGGAGCGGTACTCACACAGTCAACAGCAGGTCGGGCAGCAGCGCGCATACAGGAGTGAGGGGGAGGGCCAGCCAGAACAGGCTGGCTATGGCGTCTACCTCCTCGCGGCTAAGGGAATCCAGCCTGGCGCCGTAACGCGTTACGTAACGGAGCGGTACTCACACAGTCAACAGCAGGTCGGGCAGCAGCGCGCATACAGGAGTGAGGGGGAGGGCCAGCCAGAACAGGCTGGCTATGGCGTCTACCTCCTCGCGGCTAAGGGAATCCAGCCTGGCGCCGTAACGCGTTACGTAACGGAGCGGTACTCACACAGTCAACAGCAGGTCGGGCAGCAGCGCGCATACAGGAGTGAGGGGGAGGGCCAGCCAGAACAGGCTGGCTATGGCGTCTACCTCCTCGCGGCTAAGGGAATCCAGCCTGGCGCCGTAACGCGTTACGTAACGGAGCGGTACTCACACAGTCAACAGCAGGTCGGGCAGCAGCGCGCATACAGGAGTGAGGGGGAGGGCCAGCCAGAACAGGCTGGCTATGGCGTCTACCTCCTCGCGGCTAAGGGAATCCAGCCTGGCGCCGTAACGCGTTACGTAACGGAGCGGTACTCACACAGTCAACAGCAGGTCGGGCAGCAGCGCGCATACAGGAGTGAGGGGGAGGGCCAGCCAGAACACCAGCGAGCTGAACACCATGCGGTCCATGCCTCGCATCACGGAGCCGATCATCACCCAAGGGTAAATGTTGCTGCAACAGACACGGGTAGAATAGGAGTGATGACGGGGTCTAGGCTGTTACAAGCACTTGTGAAGGTCAAGAAGCTACGCCATCGGTTCGCAAAACTACGGCAGGAGACCTTGTACTGAGAAGAACCGGCAAGAAATTCAGCAAGGGCTGCTTTTTTCTCCTATACTCTGTATTGATATATACAGAGTCGTCAAGTTGAAAAATTACTTCAGACATACTTCTGAAGTCACCTATATATAAGCTATAAACGTTTGAGGTTCTATAGTGAGCACAGATTTAAAGGTCCTAGTTTGTATATAATAGGGGTGATGACGGAGTACAGTAAACGAAATTCTATTTAGTCCGTCAGTTAGATGTTAAAAAAATAATGGACACGTATTTTTTCTTTGGGCAATCAACCGAAAAATGACAAAGTTATAGCGCGTCAAAGTTTGGGAGTAGGGGCTCGTGACGTCACTTTTGAGTGAATTTTCGCTTATAAGTGTACTCAAACGTGACGTCATGCGACTTTTCAAATCAATATATCTCTGCAATGTTTATATTATGTGGAAAAAGAAAAAATACGTGTCCAATACTTTTTGATAATCTACCTGATAAACGAATAAAAAAAATTAGTCATCATCCCTATTACATAAATATAGTTATACTATTTAATTTTTAAGCCAGGCAGCAGACGGGACTCGAACCCGCACCCTTCTCTATCCGGGCGAAAGCACTACCATTATGTTACCGCCGCCCTGATGGTCGTGTCGAATTTTCTCTAGGCTTAGGCTGTCCGGCAGCGCCATCTCTTCGCATTGCAGGTAAACCACAATGTCAATGAATACCTTCACAAGTATTAAACATTTGAAAGAAGAAATAGCAATTATAGTTTTATTATTTATTTTTTAAACAAACTAGCGGCCCGCCCTTGCTTCGCTTCGGTGTAGAGCTGAAGTGCAGACTACAGTTTTTGTTCTCAGGCTTGTATTATACACAATGACATTCATCTATGATTCTTCTTATACCTGCATGCAAAGTCTCAGCCCGGTCGGTTTAAAATTGGCAAAGTTTCATACAAACTTTCATTCCCTATTTTATCCCCTTGGGGGTAGAATTGATCAAAATTCTTTCTTAGCGGACGCCTACGTCATAACATCTACCTGCATGCCAAATTTCAGCCCGATCCGTCCAGTGGTTTGGGCTGTGCGTTGATAGATCACTATGTCAGTCAGTCACCTTTGAGTTTTATATATAGAGATTACTGCTAGATTTTTTTTCTTGTACTATTTTCTTTATGAATATAGTTTTGAACTTATAGAGTACCTGTAGACTAGTATGAACAGCAGCCACATGGCGACGGATCCCCAGATGGAGAGGTGAGTGACGCACGTCCAAGAATGAGTCGCCAGTCCTGACTTCAGGCACACGGTCAGCACCACGTACTGTCCATAAAATAATAATAAAAAGATAAAGAAAACAAATATCTTGTTATAATTTTTATTATTTTTAAAGCATGTAACTGCTTGATGTTTAAATCTAAAGAAAATATAACTAGAAAAAATTCCACGCGGACCAGGCAGCAGACGGGACTCGAACCCGCACCCTTCGCAATCCGGGCGAATGCACTGACCATTATGCTACCGCGGCCCTCACGGACCGCGTCGAAATTCTTTCTAGCTATTCTTAAGCTGCAATGCGAAGAGATGGCGCTGCCTTGCAGCTTAAGAATAGCTAGAAAGAATTTCGACGCGGTCCGTGAGGGCCGCGGTAGCATAATTGGTCAGTGCATTCGCCCGGATTGCGAAGGGCGCGGGTTCGAGTCCCGTCTGCTGCCTGGTCCGCGTGGAATTCTTTCTAGTTATATTTTCTTTACAAATATCTTGATTTAGCTCGCGAAATTGTTGACATGTGGGACATCGATTCAGCAATTGTTGTGCCGATAATCATATCTGCCCATGGTTTGATAGCCAAGAGCCTCGATAAACACCTTAAGAGGCTCGCGTTAGGTGGTTGGGTCAAGAGTCAGATGCAGAAGGCAGTTCTTCTGGACACGGTCCGTATAGTGAGGAGGTTCCTGTCTATGGATCCTTAACCGGTAGCAGGGACCCTGATCTTGCTGCCGATGGGGAACTGCATTTTTGTATTTTTAAATGTTATACATTGTAAAAATTTAATATTTAGAAATATAATTTTGTATGTATTTTAATGAAATAAAGGAAATAATAATAAAATCACTTATTGCAGGTAGCTAAGACTTATATTTAAAACATGATACAATATAAAAACTAATTAAAAATACATTTACATTATTATAATACAACGTCAATCTTCTATTTGCGATTCCCATTCGTGTGCACAGATAGCCAATCTCTTATGTAATAGACAAGTCCGTCCGTCTGTCTGTGGTGCTGTTTCAGCGGCCAAACCGTAAGAGATAGATAAAGAGAATGTTTAAGTTATAAGTTAAGAATAGTCTGATAAGACTACAAACCGGATGTGAGTAACGTAGCACTTCCGGTTTTCGAGAAATCACGTGATTTCTATTTCAAACAAAACCACACAAAATCTCCGAAGTTCTCAATTAATTAAATACATTTTTTTTTTGGTGAACATTTGGTTCACTGGTTTGCTAGTATCTATAAATTGGATTGTTAAAATCCGCGTACAGACATTTTAGTATGCGGTAACCAGAGCAACGTTTGTTTTTATGCCTAAACAGTAGGACACGGCATTCCTAAACTTATTTTATTTTTAAATCTGTTCTTTACATTTTATAGTCATAATTGTTTTATCATTTACATTTGTAATGGAAAGTGACTTCATGAGTTATCTCATATTGAAGTCATTTTTCAAATTGACGACTCTGTATATAATACAGGGAGAAAAAAACAGCCCTTGCTGAGTTTCTTGCCGGTTCTTCTCAGTACAAGGTCTCTCGCCGTAGATTTGCGAACCGATGGCGTAGCTTTTCGACATTCACAAGTGCTTGTAACAGCCTAGACTGAATAAACGATATTGAATTTTGAATTTTTTGAATTTTTAACGCAGTCCCTCCCAAAAAGAAGCTATGCGCGTCCTAATAACAGCATAGAAGTCGATACCCCAGCCTCCGCGAACATTGTAGAAGCACTGCAAAATCTCGGCAGACCCATCAGAATACGAAAAATACCAGATAAATACCAGAATAATAATGATAAAACAACTACCGTTTAAATCTAAAGAAAAGTTTACTAGAAAAAAAAAATCCACGCGGACCAGGCAGCGGATGGGACTCGAACCCGCATCCTTCGCTATCCGGGCGAATGCACTGACCATTATGCTACCACGGCCCTATTAGCCGCGTCGAAATTTTTCTAGCCTTAAGCTGCAAGTCAGCGCCATCTCTTCGCATTGTAGGTAACCCACAATGTCAAATGAATGTGAAAAAAAATTTCGACGCGGCTAATAGAGCCGTGGTAGCATAATGGTCAGTGCATTCGCCCGGATAGCGAAGGATGCGGGTTCGAGTCCCGTCCGCTGCCTGGTCCGCGTGGATTTTTTTCTAGTAAACTTTTCTTTAGATTTAAACATCTAGCAGTTAAATGCTTAAAAATAAATAAAATCATAACTACCGTTTACTCATTTAAAAAACGAGCGAGCCTTACAGTAGTCGCGTATGATGTGTAACAATTGAAACCTCACCTTATATTAGTAAAAAAAGAAATAAAACCTACTACAAAAGGAATAAGCCATTTGAACATTGAAGCAAACCAGTGAACCAAATGTTCACCAAAAAAATAAATGTATTTAATTAATTGAGAACTTTGGAGATTTTGTGTGGTTTCGTTTGAAATAGAAATCACGTGATTTCTCGAAAACCGGAAGTGCTACGTTACTCACATCCGGTTTGTAGTCTTATCAGACTATTCTTAACTTATAACTTAAACATTCTCTATATCTATCTCTTACGGTTTGGCCGCTGAAACAGCACCACAGACAGACGGACTTGTCTAATAGATAAGAGATTCTCGTGTCGCGGTGTTTGCGGTTAAACTCCTCCGAAACGGCTTTCCCGATTCTCATGAAATTTTGTGTGCATATTGGGTAGGTCTGAGAATCGGACAACATCTATTTTTCATCCCCCTAAATGTTAAGTGTAATCCACCCCTATCTTTTTTTTTCAATTTTAGATTTTTTTTTTATTTTTTTATGATACATCATACAACAATACATACATCCCTAAATTTTCAACTTTCTACCACCAACCCCTATTTTTTTATGGCGGTACGAAGTTCGCTGGGTCAGCTAGTATGTATATAATACTAGATGTCGCCCGCGACTTCGTTTGCGTTAACGTACTTTCTTGAAAATCCCTCTGGAACCTAACATTATTTCGGGACAAAAGTAGCCTATGTGTTAATCTAGGGTGTCAGCTAACTCCATACCAAATTTTATTAAAATCGCTCCAGCCGTTTAGACGTGAAGAAGTAACAAACATACACACTCACAAACTTTCGCCTTTATAATATTAGTGTGATTCTCGTGTCACAATGTTAGTTACCATACTCCTCCCGAAACGGCTTGACCGATTTTTATGAAATTTGATATGCATATTCAGTAGGTCTGAGAATCGGCTACTACCTATTTTTCATACCCCTAAGTGTTAAGGGTTGTCCACCCCTAACATTTATTTTTTGGCACAATTTTTATTTTCACCCATCTACCATCAAACCCTATTTTTATAGCGGTACGAAGTTCGCCGGGTCAGCTAGTTATGTTCTAAAATCAAATCAAATAGCGCGCGCTTCCCAAACTTCCTGTTACACACTTCCGTCCCACTTCACGTAATCACTCCCACAAATTGCACGAAAGCGAGATGAAAGATGTTACACATCTACAAGCATTTAGTCTTGACGACGACGACCTCCGTGGCCGGGTGGTTTGTACCCCGGGTTTCATGGTGTCGCCGACTCGAGAGGTCCTGGGTTTGGTCCCGGTGGAGGTAGATGTTTGTGTGATGAAAACGAGCATTTGTACTCCAGTCATGGCCGTTTGATATGTATTTCTATATATATATATATATGTGGCGGCGACATCTATATGCCCCACATATTTACAACGGATGGAGGAAATCATTACTCACCATCCTCAAGAGATGGCGTTACCTGCACTGCGATCAATATTAGTATGGAAGCCTACATCGCGCAAATGAAATTTGAAGGCTAACTCTTCATATATACGATGCCCGACCAACATCAGTCAGCTACCATCACCCAGCTCGGAGGAAGATCTTCCCCTTTGGCATTCCTACATATATATTTATATAGTCGTTTCGACCTGCGATCGTGAAAGTTAAGCAGCTTTCGCAACGGTCGGTCATTGGATGGGTGACCAAAAACTGGCTTCCCTGGCTCCATCGCGCTTCGGAAGGCACGTAAAGCCGTTGGTCCCGGCTGCATGTACAGTCGTTGGCATCCACCAATTCGAGGTGAGCAGCACGGGCAGCCAGAACAGTGGATGGCCCACCCGCGGGGCACGCGCGTATTACAGTGCCCCAGTACCGTGTACACCAGGTTGCCCAGCACCAGGTAGCCGCCGTCCTTGCCGCTGGGCCACAGGATGTGGTGCGAGGTCAGCAGCACCGGCAGCCAGAACAGTGGATGGCCCACCCGCGGGGCACGCGCGTATTACAGTGCCCCAGTACCGTGTACACCAGGTTGCCCAGCACCAGGTAGCCGCCGTCCTTGCCGCTGGGCCACAGGATGTGGTGCGAGGTCAGCAGCACGGGCAGCCAGAACAGTGGATGGCCCACCCGCGGGGCACGCGCGTATTACAGTGCCCCAGTACCGTGTACACCAGGTTGCCCAGCACCAGGTAGCCGCCGTCCTTGCCGCTGGGCCACAGGATGTGGTGCGAGGTCAGCAGCACCGGCAGCCAGAACAGTGGATGGCCCACCCGCGGGGCACGCGCGTATTACAGTGCCCCAGTACCGTGTACACCAGGTTGCCCAGCACCAGGTAGCCGCCGTCCTTGCCGCTGGGCCACAGGATGTGGTGCGAGGTCAGCAGCACCGGCAGCCAGAACAGTGGATGGCCCACCCGCGGGGCACGCGCGTATTACAGTGCCCCAGTACCGTGTACACCAGGTTGCCCAGCACCAGGTAGCCGCCGTCCTTGCCGCTGGGCCACAGGATGTGGTGCGAGGTCAGCAGCACGGGCAGCCAGAACAGTGGATGGCCCACCCGCGGGGCACGCGCGTATTACAGTGCCCCAGTACCGTGTACACCAGGTTGCCCAGCACCAGGTAGCCGCCGTCCTTGCCGCTGGGCCACAGGATGTGGTGCGAGGTCAGCAGCACGGGCAGCCAGAACAGTGGATGGCCCACCCGCGGGGCACGCGCGTATTACAGTGCCCCAGTACCGTGTACACCAGGTTGCCCAGCACCAGGTAGCCGCCGTCCTTGCCGCTGGGCCACAGGATGTGGTGCGAGGTCAGCAGCACGGGCAGCCAGAACAGTGGATGGCCCACCCGCGGGGCACGCGCGTATTACAGTGCCCCAGTACCGTGTACACCAGGTTGCCCAGCACCAGGTAGCCGCCGTCCTTGCCGCTGGGCCACAGGATGTGGTGCGAGGTCAGCAGCACGGGCAGCCAGAACAGTGGATGGCCCACCCGCGGGGCACGCGCGTATTACAGTGCCCCAGTACCGTGTACACCAGGTTGCCCAGCACCAGGTAGCCGCCGTCCTTGCCGCTGGGCCACAGGATGTGGTGCGAGGTCAGCAGCACGGGCAGCCAGAACAGCAGCACCGAGTGCAGCAGGGCGTTGATGGCCCACACCCAGAATACGCGAACGTTGAATAGAAGCCCGCGCTGCGAGGCCGTGTACAGAACTGGGTGCTGAATAAACAACAGTAAAACAATTAGTGGCTTTAAATCATTCACAATGTATAAAACAGAGGAGAGGAGAAGTTAAGCAACTTTCGCAGTGGTCGGTCATTGGATGGGTGACCAAAAATTTACTATCTCCAGCCCCTCCGTGCTTCGGAAGGCACGTTAAGCCGTTGGTCCCGGCTGCATTTGCAGTCGTTAGCACCCACCGATCCGCACTGGGCCCGCGTGGTGGGTCATGGCCCAATCTCCCTATTCCATCCATAGGGAAGGCCTGTGCCCCAACAGTGGGGACATTAATAGGCTGATGATGATGATGATGATGTATAAAACAGGCCGTTTATTTATTTATTATAGGTACACTAACAGAATACAGTCAATACATGTTTAACATAAAATTATAGTTGAAATGATCTGGACAGTACTCCTTTTTACGTGTACACAACATGATTAAAATTGAACAGTACATATGTAATTTATATAATTGAAGGCAAAGCTCAATGTTAACTTAAAAAATATAGTTTTACTTAATAATGTAGTTTTAATTGCTTTCTGAAGACCATTTGGCTTTAATAATATTGGTCACAACTTGTTTGTAATGTGAAAAATGGATCAAAAGCCGTTGAGAAAATGAAAAGCAAATAATTGTTAAAAAATGTATGCAATTAGAAACACATTGGTGTCCATTCTGGCCTGTTTCTCTGAATTTGAAAATGTGAATCTTGATCAAATAATTATGGAAACTCTCGCCAAAAAACTAAGTCAAACAAAAAAATAATCATCAAAATCGGTCCATGCACATCGAAGGTGATCAACAATAAATAAATAATAATACTAACAAATTGAGAACTTCCTCCTTTCTGAAGTCGGTTAAAAATGACAAAGATAAAGCGCATCATAGTTTTGAAATGGGGCCTCATGACGTCATTTCTAAGTAAACAGAAGAGTTCCTGAGAATTACACGTTCAACCAAAAAATGGTGCAGTCGGTACAACAGGCCCTAAAGTACGCAACAAAACTTTCACTATCAGTTAAATAAATTTTCACAGAACGTTTATCTTTATATATATATAATTCTACTGTGAGTGTGTATGTCAATGAACTTCTCTTAAACGACTGGACCGATTTTGATGAAATTTTTTGTGTGTGTTCAAGGGGATCTGACAATGGTTTAGATTCACAATTTTGTCCGCTGGACAACCCCTATTTTTTTAGGGCGGTACGAAGTTCGCTGGGTCAGCTAGTAATTATATAAAGATACTAGCTGACCCAGCGAACTTCGTACCGCCCTAAAAAAAATAGGGGTTGTCCAGCGGACAAAATTGTAAATCTAAACCATTCTCAGATCCACTTGAACACACACAAAAAATTTCATCAAAATCGGTCCAGTCGTTTAAGAGAAGTTCAGTGGCATACACACTTACAGAAGAATTATATATATAAAGATTCATTGCGTAGAATACAAGCCTGAGAACAAAAACTACAGTCTACCCACACTACAGCTCTACACCGAAGCGAAGCGAAGGCGGACCACTAGTATGCAATATTTGCGTATGTGTTTCGACTTACCCTCAGCATGATCTCTGGCGAACACAGCTTGTCGAAGAGTCCGATAGCGAAAGGCGGCAGTGCGGTGAAGATCACGTTGTAGAAACCTATCGTCCACCGTTCGAATAGGATCTGACCAGACCTGGACAGGGCATACGGTCTTATTACCAGGGTAAGTTTTTTAACAAACAAACAAATACATATCACCAATTCTTCTGTTGAAATTTAGAAATAGTTAAAGTATACAGCGGCAGGCAATCAGGGTTGCAATACAAAAAAAATGGATGCGTGTAACTTATGTACGCGCGTGAGAAGTTATACTTCTTTAGCATCATTAAAAATATTTTTTAATTGCATGCAAATAATTAATAATTACAATAAAATAATAAAAGTACTGGAAAAGGATAGTTAACACCGTCAATTAAGTTCAGTTTTAATTTGAAAAATTAAATAAATATTCAAAATATTCAATTAAAATCACTACTGAATTTAAGTTATTAGTCCCTACGTAATTAGCACTTGTAAGTAACTAAAACACGTTGTCTCTATATAGAAACTAGAAACATGTGGATAAATATTATAAATATGAAAACAGTGATCAGAGGCGACGAGCGTGCCAATATTGTTTTTGACAACGCGATCATCTTATGGAGCTCCGTGGATCGTTCAAAGTACCTTTCGAACAGATGTTTAATTATTAGACACTAACATTCATAACGCGCCCGCGGCCAACTTCATGGTGTTACTATTGTGTTACAGTGATGCGCGCGCATCTCGAAATTTCACTCTCATCATTTTTTCATAACGCGCCCGCGGCTAACTTCATTATGTTACTTTTGTGTTACAGTGATGCGCGCGCATCTTAAAATTTCACTCTCATAATTTTTTCATAACGCGGCTAAAGAAGTATAACTTCAAAAATAGGAACTGCTTTAAACCATGTTAAGAACAATTTTTGTATGCCGTTTTCTTCTTTAACTGAATTGAATGCCTGACGTTTTTGTTGTAGTAGTATTAAGTTTTAATTTTTAGCATATGCTGTCTCTATCTTATGCCACACTGATTGCGATAACTCGAATATAGCTATTTTTCTAGCCTAAACCTTCGCGAAGACTCTTTCTCTGTTTTACTTCGCTTTCGTTGCGAAATTGCTTTATAGACATTCGAAACCAAATCTTAATAATTACTAACTAGGGTTTTATTTAAAACAACACAGCCATAGACTGCAGCACTCACCAGGCGGAGTAGATGGCGAACCATAGCTCGATGACGTACAGACAGATGTTCTTGTAGAACGAGTACAGGATCAACTTGCTGATGCGGGAATAATTCCACGCGCCATGTACTAGCAGTAAACGTTGCAGGAAACGGAACTGGGGACAATACAATATTGACATTAAACGATTGTCGTTATAACTCATGCTGATAAAGGTAAAAATTGAAAATAGCGACGCGAATGCTTCTTTTCAAAATTATTCCTGACAGGATGTGATTGGGAGACAGAATATCTTGTGTCACTTATTTTCGATTTTATTTTGATTATTCTTTTCTCGTGTCATTAAAAGCAGAGCAGGTACATGTACATTTATAAGGTTCGTTTGATTCCGTTCATATAATTTTGCGTTAATTAGTCGCCAACATTTAAAATATTTTAATGCAGCTTTTGGGAGGATAACCAAATAGTTCCTTTGGCTCGAAGCTGACTTCGGCACAAGTTATACCGATGGGAAAGCGATATTGTATGAACTCTTCGATTGCGACTAACATAAGCCGACTTACTACGCGCCATTGAGCATCATCGCCACGTGGTTGGCCGAGTGGTTTGTACGCCGGGTATCATGGTGTCGCCGACTCGAGAGGTCCCGGGTTCGAATCCCGGTGGGGGCAGATGTTTGTGTGATGAATACGAGCATTTGTACTCCAGTCATGGATGTTTAATATGTATTTCTATATAAATATACTTACATATGTACAGTATATGTATTCTATCCCTTACCCTGGTATTCCATAACACAAGCTTTTATAGTGCTTACTTTGGGGCTAGGCTAATTGGTGTGAGTGTTGGAAATATTATTATTATATTATATTATTATTATAATATCGCCTAGTCGCCTATATAACTTCAATGGAAGAAACGTCGTTCAAATTTGAGAGACCTTGGGCTTTTCCTATCACTACCAAAATGCAAAAATATTGCAACAATGGCTTGTTTCGTATATGGAAATAAATATATAAATAAATAAATAAATATAATAAATAAATATGAATTCAAAGACATGGAATGATCTCCCGCCACCTTTGCGGACTAACATTTCAATGTCAACATATAATTTTAAAAATAAATGTAAATAGGGATGATGACTATTTTTTTTCTTCGTTTATCAGGTACATTATCGAAAAGTATTGGACACGTATTTTTTCTTTTTTTACATAACATAAACATTGCAGAGATATATTGATTAGAAAAGTCGCATGACGTCACGTTTGAGTACACTTATAAGTGAAAATTCACTCAAAAGTGACGTCACGAGCCCCTACTCCCAAACTTTGACGCGCTATAACTTTGTCATTTTTTGGTTGATTGCCCAAAGAAAAAATACGTGTCCATTATTTTTTGATCATCTAACTGACGGACTAAATAGAATTTCGTTTACTGTACCCCGTCATCACCCCTGTTGTGATTATTAGATAAACAGTATACTGCGGCCAAAACTGTATTTAATTTAGATATTTAATAATGGATGTATTAATTTTTAAATCGATTTTCAAAGTTTTACTTGTTGGTATCACAAAATGGAGCATGTTTTAGTTAAAAAGGTTGTGGCAGAATATCAGCGAGTTCCGATAAAACGGCGGTCTGAGGCTGAGTCACATTCCCTTTTTGTTCCCAAAAAGTTGGTATGTCAGATTTTAAGTTTTTGTATTTGTATATGTATTTTTTGGAGCGAATAAATACTTATAATTTTTGAAGCATGTAACTGCTTGATGTTTAAATCTAAAGAAAAAAAAAATGGGTACGTGTACTTATGTAGGCGCGTGAGAAGTTATCCTTCTTTGGCATCGTTTAAAATTAGTTTTTAATTGCATGCAAATAATTAATTACAATAAATTAATAAAAAGTCTGGAAAAGGACACAGTCAATAAAGTTCAGTTTTAATTTGAAAAAATAAATAAATAATCAAAATATTCAATTAAAATCGCTACTGAATATAATTTATTAGAACATATGTGATTTGCACTTGTATGAAACTCAAACACGTATTCCGAATATACAAACTAGAAACATGTGGATAAATATTATAAATATGAATACCTATAACTGTTACTTTATTACAAAAAATAAAGATGTGGTTTTCGGTTCTACTACACCAATGGTCAAGAGATGGCGCTGTAGTCTCCTGAATCGCGCTTTGGTTCCGTTGTTCCAGATTAATAAATAGTTTTGATAGGCCTTCACAATGCAGTCGTTAGCACCCACTAAATAGAGATTCTATTTCTATTTTGTTGGTAGATTTTATTTTGTTGTCGCTAAAGCGACCAACTTCATGCTGTTAAAATTTTGTGTTACAGTGATGCGCGCGCATCTTAAAATTTCACTCTCATAATTTTTTCATAACGCGCCTAAAGAAGTATAACTTCAATAACTAGAAAAAAATCCACGCGGACCAGGCAGCAGACGGGACTCGAACCCGCACCCTTCGCAATCCGGGCGAATGCACTGACCAATTATGCTACCGAAGCCCTCACGGACCGCGTCGAAATTCTTTTAGCCATTCTTAAGCTTAGGCAGCGCCATCTCTTCGCATTATAGGTAACCCACAATGTCAAATGAATACTTTTACAAGTATTAAACACTTAGTCACTGCATTCGCCCGGATTGCGAAGGGTGCGGGTTCGAGTCCCGTCTGCTGGCTGGTCCGCGTTGTTTTTTTTTTCTACTATATTTTTTGAAGTGAAACTTCTTTATCGGCGTTGGAAAAAAAATTACCGTCACATTTTTCGGTTACGCGTCACATTTTTCCGTTACGCGCCATCTTTTTTTATATTAATAGTTGATAGCTGAATGATCACACTGTCGCCGGCGAGAACTCTCTCTACTCGTTTGTAGCTGAGTGACAATAGTTATTAAAGATAAGACTCGCTCAGCCAAACTCGCATAGCGATACTCGCTCAGCGATACTCCCTCAGCGATACTCACTCAGCGATACTCGCTCAGCGGTACTCGCTCAGCGATACTCGCTCAGCGGTACTCGCTCAGCGATACTCGCTCAGCGGTACTCGGTCAGCGATACTCGCTCAGCGATACTCGCTCAGCGATACTCGCCCAGCGATACTCGCTCAGCTATACTCGCTCGGTTAAGCTGGCTTGGCTGTCAAAAGCCGTGCGCGTGCATTTTAACTCAGGACTGCCAATTCGTTTCTAGTTTCTACTCGCTTATCGTTCATCGTCGGCGGTGGAACATGTGCCTTAGATTACTGAGCTGTGTAATCATAACAGTTTCATAGGCAGTAATTTGTATTCATGTCTATGATAATAAAATACTTTATCTAATTTAACTTTATTTAACAAATTTCTGGAAAGTTGCATGTAGATCATTTTTCGAAAAATAAGGCCATAAAGAAGTTTCACTTCTTACGTGTGTACACTAGTACACGCACACATTTTTTTTTAAATAAATACTTATTATTATTATATCGCCTATATATCGCCCTATATATCGCTCTATATATCGCCTATATATCGCCGCATACCTGAGCGATGCTGTAGTCGGAGGCGCAGACGGCCTGCAGCCCCTCCACGCCGGAGATGCCGACCCCCACAGAAGCTCGTTGTATCATCGCCACATCGTTGGCGCCATCGCCTATCGCCAAGGTCACCGCCCCCGTCGCACCGGATACCATTTCCACTACCTGTACGAACAAACTCATCATCATCTCTTATCTATTAGACAAGTCCGTCCGTCTGTCTGTCTGTGGTGCTGTTTCAGCGGCCAAACCGTAAGAGATAGATAAAGAGAATATTTAAGTTATAAGTTAAGAATAGTCTGATAAGACTACAAACCGGATTTGAGTAACGTAGCACTTCCGGTTTTAATCAAATTCAATTATAACTTAAGCCAAGCCAAGTAAGGGAAGTTAATTATACCTATCAGTAATAATTAATGGTGACAAATAAATAATAATAATAATAATAAATATTTCCAACACTCACACCAATTAGCCTAGCGCCAAAGTAAGCACTGTAAGGCTTGTGTTATGGGATGCTAGGGTAACGGATAGAATTCATATACAGTACATATATAAGTATATTTATATAGAAATACATATTTAAACATCCATGACTGGAGTACAAATGCACGTATTCATCACACAAACATCTGCCCCCACCGGGATTCGAACCCGGGACCTCTCGAGTCGGCGACACCATGAAACCCGGCGTACAAACCACTCGACCACAGAGGTCAATGCTGGAGCACAGGCCTTCCCTATGGATGAATAAGGAAATTGGGCCATGACCCACCACGCGGGCCCAGTTCGGATTGTTGGGTGCTGACGACTGCAGATGCAGCCGGGACCGGGACTTCTCGAGACAGTAAATTGTTGGTTACCCATCCAATGACCGACCATTGCGAAAGTTGCTTAATTTTAACGATCGCACCCGAACGCGCTAACCTCCCGCGCCATCGAGATCCTCAAATTGACATACACACACACACAATAATGAGTTGCCGCATTTACGGGGCTGTTCTTTATTGACAGCACAGTGTCTAGTCGAGCGAAGCGAGACCAATCTATATACAGGGTGGAAATTTTGAATGCCACCCCCAGGGGAAGTACTCTAAATACTGGAGATAGATAATTTTACTCAAAGGAAACATTTCTCTAATTTTAAAAAGAAACACAACTGCATTCACAGTTTTTCGAAAATTTGCTTGCCACATCCTGGAATCGAACTGGCAAAAATTCGAAAAAATGACATCCTGTATTTTTATGGCACCGATCGATAAGGTCAATCAATCACCCCCCTGAAACTGGTACCTTACTGGACTCTTTAGTCTGCATTTTAGACATGTGCAAAAAAATCTCTATTCGTCATTTGAATGAATAAATGACGCCGAAAATAATAAAAATACTAACTCGTGTAATCTGGTGGGATAAAACTGCTTTTAGTCTTGTTCCATTCAGTTAAGATTTCACGCTTTTCCTTCCATTTAATGTACAAAGTTTGTTAGTAAGATATAATCCCTATGATTCACCCTATCGATTGATGCCATAAAAATAAAGGATGTCATTTTTTCAAATTTTCGCTAGGTCGATTCCCGGGTGTGGCAAGCAAATTTTCGAAAAACTGTGAATGCAGTTATGTTTCTTTTTAAAAATAAAGGAATGTTTCCTCTGAGTAAAATTATCTACCTCCAGTATTTAGAGTACTTCCCCTGGGGGTGGCATTCAAAATTTCCACCCTGTATATAAAACTCAAAGGTGACTGACTGACATAGTGATCTATCAACGCACAGCCCAAACCACTGGACGGATCGGGCTGAAATTTGGCATGCAGGTAGATGTTATGACGTAGGCGTCCGATAAGAAAGGATTTTGATCAATTCTACCCCCAAGGGGATAAAATAGGGAATGAAAGTTTGTATGAAACTTCGTCAATTTTAAACCGATCGGGCTGAGACTTTGCATGCAGGTATAAGAAGAATCATAGATGAATGTCATTGTGTATAATACAAGCCTGAGAACAAAAACTGTAGTCTACACTTTCAGCTCTACACCGAGGCGAAGCGAGGGCGGGCCGCTAGTCATTCATATAGATGAATGATTGGTCTCGCTTCGTATAGGTGTTCCTATGCCTGTGCATAGGTATAGGAACAACTATGATATCTAGTCGTATTTGCTATTTGTGAATGCCAAGTAAAGTGCTAGCGTTAAACATTACAACGAATACAACAACAAGTGAGTTTTGAAAGTTAAATATCGTTATTAGAACTGAATAAAACGTTTTATTTTGACGACCTCCGTGGCCGAGTGGTTTGTACGCCGGGTTTCATGGTGTTGCCGACCCGAGAGGTCCCGGGTTCGAATCCCGGTGGGGGCAGATGTTTGTGTGATGAATAAGAGCATTTGTACTCCAGTCATGGATGTTTAAATATGTATTTCTATATAAATATACTTATATATGTACAGTATATGTATTCTATCCGTTACCCTAGCATCCCATAACACAAGCCTTACTGTGCTTTGGGGCTAGGCTAATTGGTGTGAGTGTTGGAAATATTTATTTATTTATTATTTATATATTTTTATTAGCGGCCGTCCGCAATAAAGTTTTTTGAGAATCCTACAGGAGGCTCACATTTTCCCGGGATAAAAAGTATCCTTTGTCTCAATCCAGGTCATTCACAATATGCGTACCAAATTTCATCCAAATATCGATCAGTAGTCTTTCCCTGATTGAGTAACGAACATACAAACATTCACATTTATAATATCAGTAGGATTATGGTGAGGGCTAGATAACTCGCAATACGTCAAGTGCATTTGTGCACGTTACCTCTCATCTCATAATCTCATTATCTTTATTGCTTCATGTGGGTTTTTGCTTCAAATGGCAGTGTTTGTAAAAAGGTATTTTCACTTATATCAGAAAAAAAAAGATGTTGAATATAGAGGTAGAAAAGGGGACGATTTATGTGTTCCAATCCAAACTCTAATGGTATTTTCTAAAAATGCATATTGTATGTCCATTCGTATATTTAATAAGTTACCTTCAAATATAAAAAAAATGACTTTAACCAAATTTAGGACTGAATTATTTTCATTTTTAATTAACAAAATGTATTATTCAGTTAACGATTTTTTAAATGATAAAATAGCCTAATTTAATGTATGTTTGACATTCGTGTGTATTTAATATAATAGTCTAAAATATGTAGATGATAAATATATGTAATTTTTTGACATTTTAATTCAATTAGATTGCAATTTTTCTTGACTATTTTAATAATGAATAGATTGGTAGTTGTAATTTTTGTGACATTGAATATTATTATTACCTTTAAATTAATTTTATTTATTTAGACGTAGTAGACCTTATTGATGTAAATTTCCTGAAATATTTGCACGTTGACATTCAACAAAATATGCTGGTAACTAAAGACATATGTAACAACTATTGTAACCATATTTTGGCAAATAAATTATTATTATTATTCATGTTGGTACATACATGGGTTCTTAAATTTAAAATAAAGATTCACAACATGATCCCTGCAAGGGGATTGCAAATTTTCTTAATTTCTAACAAACAATAGTAATACATGTAATAATTATGTTTATATATCATTTCATTATTTGTCCTGATTAAATAGACATAACATTAAATAAATATTTACATTTCATTATTTTTTATCATTAACATAAAATTGATATGCATTTATTTATATATATTTGATGTTCTATTATAACTTGATAAACAATTATTTAAGGCAAAGATTATAAAATTATACAGCCATTACATTTTTTTTTTCTCTTTGATATGTATTTATTGGTATGCTTGTTTCGTTTGGTGTATTATTGTTGTTTTATTTGTTATCTGTGTCATCAACCATAGGCCCTGCCAGAATCATCAGCGCTGCAGCAGCCCTGGTGTTGTTGTAGTATTAAGCTGAGGCAGGGACCTAGTTGGCCTATTTTGTCTTGTTTTATTTATGTAAATCTGACTGTGTTTAAGGCTAATAAATTTATTTCTATCTCTTATCTATTAGACAAGTCCGTCCGTCTGTGGTGCTGTTTCAGCGGCCAAACCGTAAGAGATAGATAAAGAGAATATTTAAGTTATAAGTTAAGAATAGTCTGATAAGACTACAAACCGGATTTGCGTAACGTAGCACTTCCGGTTTTCGAGAAATCAGGTTTTGGTGAACATTTGGTTCACTGGTTTGCTAGTAATCTCATAATCTTTATTGCTTCATGTTGGTACATACATGGGTTTTTAAATTTAAAATAAAGATTCTCAACATGAGCTCTGCAAGGAAATTGCAATTTTTCTTAATTTCTAACAAACAGTCATACATGTGATAATTATGTTTATATATTATTTCATTATTTGTCCTGATTAAATAGACATAACATTAAATAAATATTTACATTTCATTATTTTTTATCATTAACATCAAATTGATATGCATTTATTTATATATATTTGATGTTCTATTATATAAAACTAGTTTTTACGGGTTAATGCACGAAACTTTATTTATTTATTGACGTTTCGTAACCTTTACAGGCTACGTCGTCAGAATCAAACTTTTATTTAATTTGTCGAGCTACCTTCGAAAGACTTTTATTGAGCGTTCGGTTATTTCATTGTTCGATTTTTAAAGTTTTATTGTCAATGTATGAATTTATTATTTAATGTACTGAATAAAGTATTTTATTTAAAATTCTTTTTTGTAATTTTGAGTTTATTTATTTGACCCTAACTACCGTAAACTACCACCGGTTCCAAACTTGGGAGACCTTTCTGAGAAGAACCGGCGAAACAAACTCAAGAGAGGCTTTCTATCTCCTTCTTATGTTAAGTTATGCAAACAAAAAGTTGTATTAGAACTTGATAAACAATTATCTTTATATATATAATTCTTCTGTGAGTGTGTATGTCACTGAACTTCTCTTAAACGACTGGACCGATTTTGATGAAATTTTTTGTGTGTGTTCAAGGGGATCTGAGAATGGTTTAGATTCACAATTTTGTCCGCTGGACAATGTTTTTTTAATTAATTTTTAATTTATTAGTAGTTGTTGATTTTGGAATGTTTTACATTGGATCCGACAGATGGCTATGTGTATATTCCTGTCAAACATTTGACGTTCGTCGTTTATCATTTCTTGCAAATTATTGTAAGCAATACGAAGTACGCTGGGTCAGCTAGTTTAAATATATATTACCTCTGCCTTCTGTATGGGCGATACGCGGCAACAGACGACCACCTTGCAGGAGATGCAGAGGTCGAGGAAGTCCTTCTTCAGGTCGCAGCCCATCGCATACTTGAGCGTCTTGCCGTCGATCACGAGCGCCACCTCGTTCTGTTTGCGTAGATTCTCCCCGAATTCCACGGAATGGCGGCCGATGCATTCGCGCGTTCCCTGTTAAACGCAATAATCAATAATCAAAATCATTTATTCAGTTTAGGCTGTTACAAGCACATATGAATGTCTAGAAGCTACGCCATCGCTTCGTGAATCTACGGCGGGAGACCTTGTACTGAGAAGAACCGGCAAGAAACTCAGCAAGGGCTGTTTTTTTCTCCCTGTTTTATCATTTACAGAGTCGTCAGGTTGAAAAATGACTTCAGAGATGATTCATGAAGTCACCCTTCATTACATAATGTGAAATTATACATTAATTGTACACCTGCATTTTGATTGCTGTGTCACACAGTATAAATACAAACAGAGTTATTTATAATAGATGTAATTAAACATTTACATCTTAAATATCAAAGTAGTTAGGGCAGACTCATCTCCGCTGGCAGCACCCGTTCACGAGCATGACGCATGAACCAGCCATCGCTTCGCTCAACCATATTTTAGGGAACGTAACGACCCGCCTCACACGAAACCACCGAAGAGACTTTTAAGAGAGCATGACTACCCATAACCACCTATATCAACCACAACATATTTACTTAAACTTAAAATCATTTATCTGTAGGTTCAATAAGTCCCATCGTTAACAGTCGTTTTAAAAGTGAAACTTATTTACGCACGCTTGACTTATTGTGACACCCTTTATCAGTTTAATTACAATAGCAGTAGTTAATATTTCAATAGATATTTTTTTTTTTTAGAACGATAATATTATTATTTTCGTAGAACGTTCATGAATGAGCCGCGCCGAGTGAGCGATGTTGATGGCAGTTTCCTGTTTGTATCCTAAGATATAACTACAACAATGTGGACATACATCGAGGCTGTCCTCGTTGATGAGTATGATCGTCATGGCGGCGTGGATGGTGATGAGAGCGATCTCCTGTTTGTAGCCTAAGATATAACTATAACAATGTGGACATACATCGAGGCTGTCCTCGTTGATGAGTATGATCGTCATGGCGGCGTGGATGGTAATGAGAGCGATCTCCTGTTTGTAGCCTAAGATATAACTATAACAATGTGGACATACATCGAGGCTGTCCTCGTTGATGAGTATGATCGTCATGGCGGCGTGGATGGTGATGAGAGCGATCTCCTGTTTGTAGCCTAAGATATAACTATAACAATGTGGACATACATCGAGGCTGTCCTCGTTGATGAGTATGATCGTCATGGCGGCGTGGATGGTGATGAGGGCGATCTCCTGTTTGTAGCCTAAGATATAACTATAACAATGTGGACATACATCGAGGCTGTCCTCGTTGATGAGTATGATCGTCATGGCGGCGTGGATGGTGATGAGGGCGATCTCCTGTTTGTAGCCTAAGATATAACTATAACAATGTGGACATACATCGAGGCTGTCCCATAGAGGTATAAGAATAGAGTAGGGGAGATATAGACTCTACTCAAGTGGAAGTGTCCCTCTAATAGAAAGAGAAAGAAGATGAGAGACCGGTAACTTTTCTTTCGAATCGCGCATGCGCATTGGTAACCGTAAGCATCTTACTATTTCGAAGTGATGCCATTGGATGCCATGCGTGACAAGAGAGAGAGATAGCTAGCTGTCTCTCATCTTCTTTCTCTTTCTACTAGACGGACACTTTTAGAGTCGCCTTCCTACTCTATTCTTATACTTCTATGGGCTATCTTCGTTGATGAGTTTCATCGGCATGGCGGCGTGGATGGTGATGATGGCGGTCTCCTGTTTGTAGCCTAAGATATAACTACAACAATGTAACATATGCAATTTTTTTCTTCCTTTATGAATAAGGTTTACTATATAAATCTTTTATAAATATGGTTAAGCGAAGCAATGGTTAGTTCATGCGTCATGCTCGTGAACGGGTTGTGCCAGCGGAGATGAGCCTGCTCTTGCTCCATTGGGTACTATTAACCGTTGTTATTAACTGTGATGTGTGTGACTGTGATGCCATTGGATGCCATGCGTGACAAGAGAGAGAGATAGCTAGCTGTCTCTCATCTTCTTTCTCTTTCTACTAGCCTAAGATATAACTACAACAATGTGGACTTACATCGAGGCTGTCCTCGTTGATGAGTATGAGCGGCATGGCGGCATGAATGAGCCGCGCCGAGTGAGCGATGTTGATGGCAGTTTCCTGTTTGTATCCTAAGATATAACTACAACAATGTGGACATACATCGAGGCTGTCCTCGTTGATGAGTATGAGCGGCATGGCGGCATGAATGAGCCGCGCCGAGTGAGCGATGTTGATGGCAGTTTCCTGTTTGTATCCTAAGATATAACTACAACAATGTGGACATACATCGAGGCTGTCCTCGTTGATGAGTATAAGCGGCATGGCGGCATGAATGAGCCGCGCCGAGTGAGCGATGTTGATGGCAGTTTCCTGTTTGTATCCTAAGATATAACTACAACAATGTGGACATACATCGAGGCTGTCCTCGTTGATGAGTATGAGCGGCATGGCGGCATGAATGAGCCGCGCCGAGTGAGCGATGTTGATGGCAGTTTCCTGTTTGTCGCCCGTCAACACCCACACGTACATATTGGCCTGCAGTAATGCCGCTATCGTCTCTGGTACCCCGTCCTGGGGGATAAATATTATTAAGAATTGCGGATTAGTGTAGTTTGTCACTTAAACTTATAAAAAAAAGTCTGTCTTAATAAATTTTTTAAGAGAAATAAAAGTTACCCACAATGTGGTAATGTTTTTACGACCTCAAGACTATTAAGACGATCAAGATTTTTTAACAAGATGTATAACTCCATAGGCGGATTTCCAAAACAAAACCTTATATGTATATGTTGATAACACAATTTCATCTAAATCTTTTTTTATTAGGTTTACAAAACTGGTTTACAATGAACGTACAATTAACTTTATTTTGTAGATATACAGCAATTACTCAGATTAAATAAAAAAGAAATGAAGTGGTGTCGTGGGACACCAGGTAGGAACGAAGTTCCTTCGGCTAATGTAGAATCGACACAAATTGCAAACTCGCTTGTGTATGCGACTGTCGCGCCTGCGCACGTCTCATTTAACGGTTTTATTCCACGCACTTTTTTCCACGGATTTTTTCTTACGGTTTTACTATCACTTTTTTTTCAGTTCGGTCGCGCAGCAAAATCCCTATCCCCTCCAAGAACTTCGTTCCAACAAGAATCTTCATTTACCTGTAACTTGTCTTCGATGGCGGTGGCACCGAGTAGCCTCAGATTGTTCTCGATGAGCAACGCCGCTTCTTCTATCTTTTGCTCCCGATCTTGTATGGCTATACTTGCCTTGTGGTACGTGTTACACCATTCCTGAATAGAATAGAATAATTCTTTATTGCAAAACTGTCACATTTATTTAAAGTCCAGGGCTCTCACCTTGGTCCCCTTCTATTTAACGTGCTTATTAATGATATAAAGAACTATATTCACAATTCGAACTTACTACTCTACGCAGATGATATGAAAATTATAAAGTTGATCAAATCCATAGAAGATTGTAAATTGTTCCAACAAGATTTGAACAACTTGGACACACTTAAATTGAACACAGATAAATGTGCAGTAATTACTTTTACCCGGAAGAAAATGCCAATTAATTATAACTATAAATTAACTAATTCTATTCTCACAAAAAAGACCAAAATGGTTGTTGACCTTGGGGTAATCATTGATGACAAACTTCTTTTCAGTAACCATATTAGCAATATTGTTGCAAAATCGTATAGAATGCTAGGTTTCATCATGCGTATTGGAAAGGCATTCCGTTGCGCATCTACTTTGATAATACTGTATAATGCATTTGTGAGACCACACCTTGAATATGCCTCTTGTGTATGGAATCCACATAATACATACATTGATGCTATTGAAAGAATTCAACACAAATTTGTAAAGTACTTAGAAAACAGAATTAATGTTAACTTGATTATTAATGATTGTGAAGCAAAGTTACAGCTTACATTCTTGCAACATCGCAGAACTGTTAGAGATCAATTATTTCTTTACAAACTTATTAATGACCTTGTAAATTCGCCGTTCCTTTTGCAGAGGATTGGTTTCCGTTGTCCAAATAGAACTAGGTCTGACAACATGTTTGTAATAAAATTCAGCAGGACCAAGTTTGCTGCAAATAGTTTCATTTCTAGAGCATGTCACAGCTATAATAAATACTTCAGGGGATTGGATATATTTTGCCTTTCTTACTTATCAATTTAGAAATGAATGCTATAAGGTCGTTTTACCCTAAAACTTAGTAATTATTTTCTTTTATTGACATAACTCTAAATATTCTACGCAATCTTAAGTAAATTATGTAAGTGTATGAATGGACTGAAGTCCGTTCATACAGGAATCTACATCATCGAGGCACCAGAGCCAATAAACCTTCTAAGGGCCACTTGCACGGAAATGACAAGTTAAATAAATAATCACGAATTAGTTATCTCAGTGTTAAAATGTTACATTTTTAATGTCAGACTTTACCTTGCATCCATAGAAAATAAGCTAGAATTACCTAACCCGGCTATTGTGTTGTCAAATTTGAAAATTTACATTCGGCCAACTCGAAGAGTACGATCGACAAGTGATTTTAGATAGCCTTCTCTTTAACTCTACTTGCAACCAATATTATGTCTTCTTTGTCTTTTTCATTATGTTAGATTTTAAACGGCGTGTCAGAAAAACGAAATTGAATCTGAACAAATGAATCAAATTAATTGTAAATGTAGCGATATGGTTTTATGTAAATGTTGCTATTTATGCTAAATGCTGATGAGTTTTTTGCGCCCATTCTCACTCATCAGCTAAAATATGTTTTGAACGGGCGGTAGCAAAAATATATTGGTCGATTCAAAAGATCTTTCAATAACTCAATTTCAATAAAGTATAATTTATTTCATAATGGGTGTCGATTCTGGTATGATTCTCTTAAACTTAAAACTAAATTTAACATCGGTCTTTTCATTCTGTATAAAGAATGACAAGGATGCACTGTTATCAAATTAAAGTTTAGGTTTAGAGAATCATGCCAGAATCGCCACCATTGTTTAGGTGGTTTAGTGGGCGTGTGTAGTGTAACGTCCGTTGCGTTACAGCCTCCTTATTTGGGTAAACTCTTTGTTCATGTAATGCCTACGGCTGGCAGTTATATTAAAAAGGTTATGTCATGATTTTTAAAAATTTGAAATTGGGAATCTTCTATATATTGTTTTAAACTTTCATGATCACTAACATTATAGATATTAACGGGATTGTTACCATCGACCAAGATCCAAGACCAGATCAACAGACAACCAGAGACCAAGATCGACTGCAGCTGTGGTAGTTCTTATATTGGCCAAACGAAGCGGACAATAGCGTGCCGAATGAAAGAACACATTAAAGCAGTCAGATATAATGATACGCAAAAATCAGCCATCGCGGAACATTTAATTGATTCGGGTCCTAATCACTGGATTGAGCTCCATAATCCACAAATTATCTCGACAGAACGCCACTACATACCAAGATTGGTCAGGGAAGCGATTGAAATAACCAAACACAAGAATTTCAATCGTGAGGATGGGTTTAAATTGTCTAGTGTGTGGAATCCAGTGGTTCGTATGTGTAAAAACCGCAAAAATCAAAAAAGTGTCGTTCCGCGATCTGATACTGTGAGTATTGTGTGCCGGGAACAAATGCGAGTGTATAGTGAGAATGTGACCAGTGGTAGTGGTAGTATCGAACACAGCAAAAGACGACGTCGGAGGGTAGACCGATATGTCTGCCAATAACATCTACCCGCAATTACTTCAGTTACTCCGTGATCATGGCGCTTGCAACAGTGCCGAAATATCGGAGATTCATAAAAAAATGGGTGCGTGTACTTATGTAGGCGCGTGAGAAGTTATCCTTCTTTCGCATCGTTTAAAATTAGTTTTTAATTGCATGCAAATAATTAATTACAATAAATTAATAAAAAGTCTGGAAAAGGACACAGTCAATAAAGTTCAGTTTTAATTTGAAAAAATAAATAAATAATCAAAATATTCAATTAAAATCGCTACTGAATATAATTTATTAGAACATATGTGATTTGCTCTTGTATGAAACTCAAACACGTAATCCGAATATACAAACTAGAAACATGTGGATAAATATTATAAATATGAATACCTATAATTGTTACTTTATTACAAAAAATAAAGATGTGGTTTTTTGTTCTACTACACCAATGGTCCAGAGATGGCGCTGTAGTCTCCTGAATCGCGCTTTGGTTCCGTTGTTCCAGATTAATAAATACTTTTGATAGGCCTTCACAATGCAGTCGTTAGCACCCACTAAATAGAGATTCTATTTCTATTTTGTTGGTAGATTTTCTCAATGTGCGGTAAACACAAAAGTAACAGCATGAAGTTGGTCGCTTTAGCGACCAACTTCATGCTGTTAAAATTTTGTGTTACAGTGATGCGCGCGCATCTTAAAATTTCACTCTCATCATTTTTTCATAACGCGCCTAAAGAAGTATAACTTCAAAAACAAGGTACATGGTAACAATCCCGTTAATATCTATAATGGGAATCTTCTGTCGTTTGATAGTACCCTACCTGGTAGAGCGACTCGGATACGTCACTCTGCGCGAACACAAGGGTCCGTAGTCCTTCGCCCGCGAATCTTTCCAGGTGTGACAGGGTGGAAGCTGCGTGAGGGGCGTTGGCACCCCCAGCTAGACGCGGGTAGATCACGGAGTCGGCGCCCTTGCATAGTAGCTTTATTTCCCCTGTATAAACAAGAGTTCAGAGCTATAGTGATTGCGCTCTGAGCGCAGGAAATAGTCAAGTGTTGCACATAGCGGTGGGTCGTTCTCAAATTTTCTGACGACGAAACGCAACCGTTTTCTCTTAAACGAAAACTAGTCCTCGAAACGGTATTCGTTCGCAACTGGTTATGGTTGCGGCTGGGTGATGCAACGAAACGACACGCGACGGTCGAACGAATGAACGCAACGAAACTGAACTAAATGAAATCTTGTTAACGTTCGTTTCGTTGCTGCGAACGAGACGACGAAACATCGAAATAAATGTAGTGATATACGATAATCGACTTTAATGTTCAATAATAAAGATTATATTATTGTAAAATCAAAGCTGAATTATCATAGAACGAAACGGCATGTCATATCAGTGCGTTCTATTATAGACTGTATTTACTTCATCACAAAGTACATATTGGCGTGCAGACAATCCGAGGACTAGTTGTTCGACGAAGACTGTTTTGATCCGAAACGTAAAACGGTTCTATCGTCGCGGAACACAAAACGGTCCTTGAAACCGGTTCGTCTTTAGAACGTTTACACCTAGTTGCACATTTTTATATTGGAGTTTCTTAATCGACAACCTGTGGTATGAACATAGAGTTTCAAGGTGTCGCCTACTGTCGAATACCGGTGGGGCAAATATTAGTATGATGAATACGAGCATTTGTGCCTAAGTCATAGATTTCTATATACAGGCCATCTTAGACTTACGTCGTTTCGATTTACGTCGTTTCAAGTTACGTCTAACTATGTTTTGACACTATTATTAGGTCGTCATAACAATGTTAAAAATCATTGAAACACGATTAAAGCATTAAAAAATAATGTATCTACTTTATATCATTGTTATGGTAAATTAAACTTAATAATGATGTCGATTCTGGCATGATTCTCTAAAGCTAAACTTAAATTTGACAACTGTGCATCCTTTTCATTCTCTATACAGAATAAAAAGGAGAGACTGATGTTAAATTTAGTTTTAAGTTTAGAGAATCACGCCAGAATCGACACCAATGTCATTTCAAATTTAATTTAATCGAAATTCCTGTAAAATAACTTTAGCGTGTGTAATTTTGTGATCGTTATATTTTTTTATACCAAAACAGTAGGACACGGCATTCCTAAACATTCCTAAAGTTTGTTGAATCAGTTTTTTATATATTTCATTTTATAGTCATATTTTTTATATAATTTACATTTGTAATGGAAAGTGACTTCATGAGTTATCTCGTATTGAAGTCCTTTTCAATTTGACGACGCTGTAAATAATACGAATAATAATGAATTTTGAGTTTTTTTCTTAATTTTATACTTTTAATTATGACATGCCACCCTCATAGACCCGATAATAATTATCTCTCATCTACGATTCACTGCTATTCTTACTAGGTTGTACATTTTAATAGCCCTTTCTGATGTCGGTTTTGCTAAAATACTGTTACAAAAACTTTTAATTATAGTTATAATTTTTATTTTTTTAAAGCATGTAACTGCTTGATGTTTAAATGTAAAGAAAATATAACTAGATTTTTTTTTCTAGTTATATTTTCTTTACTTTTTTTTTTATAGATAGATCCGACCAATGACTCCACCCCACCTGATGTTAAGTGAAGGTGAAGTCCAGACGCGAAGATAGCTGATACAGCAGTACTTTTAATTATGTCATTACCTGATGGCGCCCGTACGATGACAGACATCCTTTTCCTCGCCGAAGTGAAGTCTATGACGTTGAGCACTTTATAGTGCAGCAGTTTCCCGCGAGCCCGCACCGACACGCTAGATGGCGTGCGAGTCTCTAGCACATAGCCCCAGCGTGCTGCGCCTAGCACTAATGCGCGCTCATCTGTCAATCAATCAATAAATAAATAAATATTTCCAACACTCACACCAATTAGCCTAGCCCCAAAGTAAACACTGTAAGGCTCGTGTTATGGGATGCTAGGGTAACGGATAGAATACCATGTACTATACATATATAAGTATATTTATATAGAAATATATATTAAACATCCATGACTGGAGTACAAATGCTCGTACACATCACGCAAACATCTGCCCCCACCGGGATTCGAACCCGGGACCTCTCGAGTCGGCGACACCATGGAACCCGGCGTACAAACCACTCGGCCAAAGAGGTCGTCGAATCAATCAATACTTTATGGAGTTTTTGGCGGGATTTCATCGAGTGTTGTGTGTGTCAATATTAATTATCAATATTTGTTATTGTGTGTTTAAAAATGTTTGGTTTTTATTCTAGAATTAGCGGAGTGCTAAAAAAGTGTTTCGAGATTTTTTGCAAACCGTACTTTTCAAGCGACATTTGACAGATGGAGGTCATTGGCTTTCCTACTCTTATTTGAATCGCATTATAATATGATCAAAATATACCTGGTGAAGCGGCGTGGTAGTTGACAGTTCCGCCTGTGTCCTCAGGTATGACAGTATGACAGACGGCCAGCATCAGAAGGAATTCGTCAATGGCCTCGGCAGCTTCCCCCCCTCGAGATAGTTGCTGGTATAGCAAGGTGTCTTCTAAGGGCTCGTCGGGATTCGGCTTATTGTATATAACCTGTATTATGAACGATTCGTTTTATAAAAACCCACGGAATCTATATATATATATATATATAAAACTCAAAGGTGACTGACTGACATAGTGATCTATCAACGCACAGCCCAAACCACTAGACGGATCGGGCTGAAATTTGGCATGCAAGTAGATGTTATGACGTAGGCATCCGCTAAGGAAGGATTTTGATCAATTCTACCCCCAAGGGGATAAAATAGGAAATGAAAGTTTGTATGAAATTTTGTCAATTTTTAACCGATCGGGCTGAGACTTTGCATGCAGGTAAAAGAAGAATCATAGATGAATGTCATTGTGTATAATACAAGCCTGAGAACAAAAGCTGTAGTCGACACTTCAGCTCTACACCGAAACGAAGCGAGGGCGGGCCGCTAGTTAATAATAAAAGGTTGCAGTAGGGGGAGCCCAAGCAGAGATTTTTGGATTTACTAGAGCGCGGCAGAATAACATAACTGTGAAGTGACTGACATTTGGCCGCGTTGTAACTGACGAATTGGCCGCGATCAAAAGTCGTGGCTGTTTATTTTTGCTGCCTTAGACGTTCGGCCCTACAAAGTGTGCTTAGGTATCAAAATCAGAAATCAATATATCTTTATTCAAATTGGATGTATAGTACAACACTTTTGAATCGTCCAAACATTTTGTCCCTACCACTCGTTATTGGACATATTTTTTAGCTGCGGAGAAAAACGAGCGAAAAAAACTCCACAACATTAAAAGAATAATGTAACAACATTTACAAATCATTATGTTGTTACAACGTCAATACAATCATGATTTATTTAATATAGAACACCTGTTGGAATGATTGGAACAGTTGAAACCCAAGCATTTTTGTCTGTAATATAATCAGACACTTTGTAATAAGCTTTTTTAATAAGTGCTTTTTTTATACTATCTTTGAATTTATTTATGCTTAACTCTTGAGCGTATGGTGGGAGTAAGTACTTTGCTCTTTGTGAAGTCACAAAGAGCAAAGTTTATTTTATCATATCTTTATTTGGGAAAAAAACAATGAAATAATCTTACCACTTATCTAATTAACAAAACATACATCAGTAAAGTTTCCACTATAACAAATAACATATAAAGGACAAAGACGAGCTCGAAATAATAAAATTTCGGTCGCCCATCCAATGACCGGCCATTATGAAAGTTGCTTTACTCCTTAGATCGCAGACCGAACTCGCTGACCACTTTCCATTATTGCCAACTATTAAAAGTATTTATTTATCTTTAACAAAGTTTCTACAGCAGTTTTTGGGGATGTAATACAATAAAATATAAACACAATCTTCAAGCCAATTACAAACTTATAATGTACATATTAGATACTAACGGCGTTACTATACAGGGTGGTCAAAAAGTCGCGGATCAAACGAAACAGGGAGATAAAGGAAGCAATTCCAACAAAAAAAATCTCTCCAACATGGCTTCATTGCACGAGAAGCCATGAACATTTTTGCCTTCCTCAATGAAACTACCGAGTCACCTCACAATTTTAACGATAAAAAAAATGTGTGCGTGTACTAGTGTACACACGTAAAAAGTGAAACTTCTTTATGGCCTTATTTTTCGAAAAATGATCTACATGCAACTTTCCAGAAATTGGTTAAATAAAGTTAAATTAGATAAACAAAAGGATTTTATTATCATAGACATGAATACAAATTACTGCCTATGAAACTGTTATGATTACACGGCTCAGTAATCTAAGGCACATGTTCCACCTCCGACGATGAACGATAAGCGAGTAGAAACTAGAAACGAATTGGCAGTCCTGAGTTAAAATGCACGCGCACGGCTTTTGACAGCCAAGCCAGCTTAACCGAGCGAGTATAGCTGAGCGAGAATCGCTGAGCGAGTATCGCTGAGCGAGTATCGCTGAGCGAGTATCGCTGGGCGAGTATCGCTGAGCGAGTATCGCTGGGCGAGTATCGCTGAGCGAGAATCGCTGAGCGAGTATCGCTGAGCGAGTATCGCTGAGCGAGCATCGCTGAGCGAGTATCGCTGAGCGAGTATCGCTGAGCGAGTAACGCTGAGCGAGTAACGCTGAGCAAGTATCACTGAGCGAGTATCGCTATGCGAGTTTGGCTGAGCGAGTCTTATCTTTAATAACTATTGTCACTCAGCTACAAACGAGTAGAGAGAGTTCTCGCCGGCGACAGTGTGATCATTCAGCTATCAACTATTAATATAAAAAAAGATGGCGCGTAACGGAAAAATGTGACGGTAAATTTTTTTCCAACGCCGATAAAGAAGTTTCACTTCAAAAATAAACCGACTAAACACAATAAAACAAAAGGCTCCGTATCACGACTGGATAGGGTATTTGACAGTATTAAAAATAAAGTGCCAATTGTTAGCATCTGTATCTAGAATGAATATTTTTACTAAAAACCCACGATAAAGATAATAGTTTTCTTGTCCTTTGTCACGTGACCCAAAACGCTTGGGATTGGTGGAGCCTAATATGACGACACACACAAGTAAACCGGTTAAAGTAACATTACGTTGTATGGTTTGACGTTTTAATGACAGTCGTGTGACGTCACACACCAGTGAGACGCCATATTGTCCAGAGATACGTTTTTCGCGGCAATTTGAAAATAAGAGTTTATGATTTAGTTTGTTTTACCGAAATACACAACATAATGATGAATATCCACTTTTTATGGACTCTATAAACATTAGTAATTACCGTGAGATCGTTGTCTAAAACTTGTCAAATACCCTATTATGTATCAATGTCACTAAAACCGCATTGGAGCTCCTGGTACCAAATTCAACGAGCAACCAACTGCTCTCCGCAAATGTTTAAATAAAAAAAAATATGTGCACAATAGGGGTGATGACGGGGTACAGTAAACGAAATTCTATTTAGTCCGTCAGTTTGATGATCAAAAAATAATGGACACGTATTTTTTCTTTGGGCAATCAACCAAAAAATGACAAAGTTATAGCGCGTCAAAGTTTGGGAGTAGTCGCTCGTGACGTCACTTTTGAGTGAATTTTCACTTATAAGTGTACTCAAACGTGACGTCATGCGACTTTTCAAATCAATATATCTCTGCAATGTTTATATTATGTGAAAAAAGAAATAATACGTGTCCAATACTTTTTGATAATCTACTTGATAAACGAAGAAAAAAAAATTAGTCATCATCCCTATTCAAGTGAGACATTTACCTCAGCGATGGAGCACTTGTGGAACTCCATAACGTTGCATGTTAGAGTGCCAGTCTTATCACTGAACACATACTTCACCATGCCCAATTCTTCGTTCAGGTTGGAGGTTCTCGCCATAGCTGGTGTGTCTGTCTCAGCGTGATACATTTCGCTGTCCATTGCTATGAATTTCGCCTGAAACAATAGTCACACTATAATAATAATATAGACTAAGGCTCGTATTACAGAATGACATCTACATGCCCCACATATAATGAACACAGAGGAAATAGTCTCTCGCCTCCTTAAGAGATGGCGCTACCAGCGCTGCGTCTACATCGCGCAAGAGAAATTCGGAGCCAAACATTTCATATATACAATGCCCGACCAACATCAGTCGGGCCGCGGCCCCGCGTCATCTCTTAAGGAGGCGAGTGAGTGGGTCGTTCTCAAATTTTCTGACGACGAAACGCAACCGTTTTTTCTTAAACGAAAACTAGTCCTCGAAACGGTTCTCGTTCGCAACTGGTTTTGGTTGCGGCCGGGTGACGCAACGAAACGACACGCGACGGTCGAACGAATGTAACGCAACGAAACTGAACTAAATGAAATCTTGTTAACGTTCGTTTCGTTGCTGCGAACGAGACGATGAAACATCGAAATAAATGTTGTGTTATACGATAATCGACTTTAAATGTTCAATAATAAAGTTTATATTATTGTAAAATCAAAGCTTAATTATCATAGAACGAAACGGCCTCATATCATTGCGTTCTATTATAGACTGTATTTACTTCATCATAAAGTACATATTGGCGTGCAGAAAATCCGAGGACTAGTTGTTCGACGAAGACTGTTTTGATCCGAAACGTAAAACGGTTCTATCGTCGCGGAACACAAAACGGTTCTTGAAACCGGTTCGTCTTTAGAACGCTCACACCTACGAGTGACTATTTCCTCTTTAAAGAAAAGTTTACTAGAAAAAAAATGTGTGCGTGTACTAGTGTACACACGTAAGAAGTGAAACTTCTTTATAGCCTTATTTTTCGAAAAATGATCTACATGCAACTTTCCAGAAATTGGTTAAATAAAGTTAAATTAGATAAAGTATTTTATTATCATAGACATGAATACAAATTACTGCCTATGAAACTGTTATGATTACACGGCTCAGTAATCTAAGGCACATGTTCCACCGCCGACGATGAACGATAAGCGAGTAGAAACTAGAAACGAATTGGCAGTCCTGAGTTAAAATGCACGCGCACGGCTTTTGACAGCCAAGCCAGCTTAACCGAGCTGAGCCGCTGAGCTAGTATCGCTGAGCGAGAATCGCAGAGCGAGTATCGCTGAGCGAGTATCGCTGAGCGAGTATCGCTGAGCGAGTACCGCTGAGCGAGTATCGCTGAGCGAGTATCGCTATGCGAGTTTGGCTGAGCGAGTCTTATCTTTAATAACTATTGTCACTCAGCTACAAACGAGTAGAGAGAGTTCTCGCCGGCGACAGTGTGATCATTCAGCTATCAACTATTAATATAAAAAAAGATGGCGCGTAACGGAAAAATGTGACGCGTAACCGAAAAATGTGACGGTAAATTTTTTTCCAACGCCGATAAAGAAGTTTCACTTCAAAAACATCAAACATTTAAACATCTAGCAGTTAAATGTATGGGAGTCATGCGCATACAGAACGTGCCCGCACGGCGCGGCGGCGCACTGCATACTGGCGCGGAGCGCGCGGCCTGAGATATTTATATGTCGCCAATCAACCGTCGCAATATTTTTATCACCGCCGAGCGCATCCACGGCTTCTACCAACGGCACAAGCACCAACACTGGCGAAGGACGCGTAGCGCGCACATATTTACGACGATGTTGGAGCGAGACGGAAATTGTGTTGATGTGCTGTCCTTGTCTAACCATACCATGATCATATAAATAGGGGAGCCTAAGCTCGAATAAAATTAATCTAACACAAAAGCTCTTTCATTTACCATCTCTCTCCGAAGCCTCCACAATTGGTGACCCCGATATAAGAAAAAAATCTAGTTCGTGGAGCCTGATACAATGTCGTCGGACGAAAAAGCATCGGACATTAATCTCGACGTCAGCGCCGTATCTATCCAGTCGCGGCTCTTACCCTTCTGGAGAGAGATACCCCGGGCCTGGTTCATCCAATTTGAAGCCGTGATCGATCCACTGAAGACCTCCGATGACCAGAAATTCCGTTACCTACTACAGCAGCTACAGGCCGTCGATCTCCAGCACCTAACGGACATACTTTACAACCCACCTACGACGGGAAAATATGAGAAAGTAAAGCAACGATTACTCGAGGCCTACGACAAATCGGACGTGCGGAACTTCCAGAAGCTAATCAGCGGCTTGGAACTGGGAGACCAAAAGCCCTCCCAGCTTTTGAGAAAAATGAGAGAACTCGCAAGCGGAATGATCACTGAAGAGGGGCTGAAAATAGAGTGGCTGAACCACCTACCCGCACAAGTCCGCGTCGTCCTCTCCGTAAATAATGAATCGTCGCTAGACACGTTAGCCGCGATGGCGGACAAGATGTCAGAGTACGCAGGAAGCCCCACTATCGCCGCCGTCACGTCACCAGCACCGACCTCATCACCTGCAGCTTCAACCTCCATGACACCACTGGAAGCTCTAGCCAAACAAGTGGAAAAGCTCACGCTAGAGATTGCCGAGCTACGTCGAGGAAGGCCAACCCACGAGAGACACCGGCATCGTCGCCGCCCATATAACCGTCGTTTTGGATCGCAATCCCGTTCCCGCTCGCAATCAACGCAACGTGTGCCTGGACCGAAACCCGGAGATGACAACTGGGAATGCCGCTACCACTTCCGTTTCGGAGACAAGGCAAAACGCTGCGAGTCCCCATGTTGCAGAAGAAAGAAGCCGTCGGGAAACTAGAACCGACACCGACCGTGGCGGACGTCGGTGTCCCGTACACCAGTAATCGCCTTTGTGTACACGACCGTGACACTCACGAACGTTTCCTCGTGGACACAGGCGCAGACATCTCCGTTTTGGCCGCCAATCACAAGAGAAACAACAACAAATCTGAAAGCGCCTACACTTTATACGCGGCAAATAATACACCGATCAAGACGTACGGGCAGAAAACCATCAGGCTAAACTTTGGACTAAGAAGAGACTTTACTTGGGCATTCGTCGTCGCAGATGTGAAAACCTCTATACTGGGAGCCGATTTTCTTCGTCACTTCAAATTATTAGTGGACCTGGACAAGAAGAAGTTAGTTGACAAAACTACCGAACTATCAATCGACGCATTAGAAGTTTCTACAAACACCGAATCAGTCCACATTATAAGCAACAATCAAGCATACTATGACATTTTGAAACAATACCCGGATGTCCTACGCCCTATGTCTTTGAAACAGCCTGCGAAACATGAAGTTGTCCATCATATCGAAACTACCGGCCCCCCACTCTACGCCCGTCCCCGACCGCTACCCCCGGACAAGTATAAGGCAGCCAAAGAAGAGTTCGATCGCATGTTAGAAATGGGCATTTGCAAACCATCGAAAAGCCCATGGGCCAGCCCACTTCATGTAGTAAAGAAAAAAGACGGGAGACTACGCGTGTGTGGCGACTACAGACGACTAAACGCGGTCACTCAACCTGACCGGTATCCTGTACCTCGCATACAAGACTTCACATACCAACTGCATAACAAAAAAATATTCTCAAAATTGGATTTAAAAATGGCGTACTACTGGATACCAATTGCCAAGGAAGACGCACAGAAAACTGCAATTACAACACCCTTTGGAATGTTTGAATTCAACTGTATGACATTTGGTCTACGAAACGCCAGCCAAACCTTTCAAAGATTCATGCACGAGGTACTGAGAGGCATAGATGGCTGCTTCTGCTTCGTTGACGATATCCTTTTATTCGAAGAAAACGAAGAAAAAAATAAGAAACTCCTTCATCAAGTTTTACAGCGGTTGGACAAGCACGGAGTGACGCTAAACATAGAAAAATGCGAATTTGGAAAAGAAACAATAGATTACCTCGGCTACGAAGTATCAGCGGCCGGTGTAAAACCTACATCGGAACGAGTGAAAGCCATATCTACTTATCCCAAGCCGAAAACAATCGTCGAGTTACGTCGTTTCCTGGGGATGCTCAACTTTTACCGAGACTGCCTGCCACACCAAGCCGACTTCCAACATGAATTAAACAAATATTTACATAACCGAAAGAAAAACGACAAGACGCCTATAGAGTGGACACCGCAAGCAGAAGAAGCTTTTGAAAAATGCCGTCAAAGCATCTCAGAAGCCACCACACTCTCGTTTCCAGTCCACGGCAGTCCTTTGGCCATCATGACCGATGCCTCAGACCATAGTCTCGGCGCTGTACTTCAACAAAAAGTAAACAATGTCTGGAAACCACTGGCATTCTTCTCCAAGTCGATGAGCGACACACAACGCCGCTACAGCGTGTACGACCGCGAACTATTAGCGATATACACGGCTGTAAAACAATTTAGAAGACTCATAGAAGGCTGTGATGTTACTATATACACCGACCACAAACCGCTTGTCTACGCTCTCAACAAGAAAGAAAGCAAGAACGACACCCCGCGCCGCGAGCGTCAACTTCACTTCATCAGCCAATTCTGTTCATCTATCAAATATTTATGTGGAGAAGATAACGCAGTCGCCGATGCCCTATCACGAATTGAAGAGATACATTGCCCAACTGTCATAGACTACAATCAATTGGCAATTGACCAGAATAACGATGAAGAACTGAAACAATTGAAGAAACAATCAAATTTGAATTTCGCCGAGATAACTTTACCACAACTTAGCCGACCAATCACCTGTGAGATGTCGACAGCCACGCCCCGCCCATATTTACCCGCGGCATATCGCTATGCGGCATTCAAAGCGCAACACGATATTTGCCACCCGGGAATCAAAACAACACGCAAGCAGATGACAACAAAATTTTTCTGGCCGTCAATGAACCAACAAGTGACATCATGGACGCGAGCCTGCATAAGCTGCCAGCGAGCGAAAGTACATCGGCACGTAAACACGCCGTTAGTACAGTTCCCGCCGTCACAAAGATTCGAACACATACATATAGATATTGTCGGCCCGCTGCGCTTATCTAATGACTATCGGTACTGTGTCACTATAATTGACCGATGCACGAAATGGCCCGAGGCAATCCCAGTCCGTGACGTCACAGCCGAAGTCGTCGCACAAGTATTATATGAATCATGGATAGTGAGATTCGGCTGCCCGCTACGCATCACAACAGACCAGGGAAGACAATTCGAGTCCTATTTGTTCAACGCACTAATGAAGAAAATGGGTATCAACAGATTGCGTACCACCGCGTACCACCCACAGTCGAATGGACAAGTTGAACGATGGCACCGAACGATGAAAGCTGCGCTTATGGCTCGCGGGGCAACAACGACTTGGACACAGGAACTTCCAACTGTATTACTGGGATTACGAACAGCGCTGCGTCAAGACAACAACCTCAGCCCAGCGCTAATGACATATGGCACCACACTCCGCATACCATCAGATTTCTTTGAACCACGAAGCTCAAAGATCGACGACGCCGAGCTTGTACGCCATCTCACTCGCACGATGACGTCACTGACGCCGACAGCGCACCGCTCACTATCAGCTGACAAGCTCTTTGTTTACAAAGACTTAGCGACGTGCACTCATGTCTTCGTTCGGAATGACACCGTCAGAGCGCCACTCACACCACCGTACGATGGCCCCTATGAAGTACTGAAGCGCTACGACAAGTACTACAAAATCCAGCTACCACGACGAACCACAGTTGTGTCACTGGATCGACTGAAACCGGCCTACATGGTGAAAGAAGCGGAAACATGTTCATCGAACACCCAGACTTCGGCGCCGCCAGCTCACTCCCATACATCAGAAACTCGCCATGACTCGACCACTGCTAATCAACCTTATATCACGAGGAGCGGAAGAATAGTTAAGAAAATCGTACGCTTTTCTTAAGGGGGGAGTGATATGGGAGTCATGCGCATACAGAACGTGCCCGCACGGCGCGGCGGCGCACTGCATACTGGCGCGGAGCGCGCGGCCTGAGATATTTATATGTCGCCAATCAACCGTCGCAATATTTTTATCACCGCCGAGCGCATCCACGGCTTCTACCAACGGCACAAGCACCAACACTGGCGAAGGACGCGTAGCGCGCACATATTTACGACGATGTTGGAGCGAGACGGAAATTGTGTTGATGTGCTGTCCTTGTCTAACCATACCATGATCATATAAATAGGGGAGCCTAAGCTCGAATAAAATTAATCTAACACAAAAGCTCTTTCATTTACCATCTCTCTCCGAAGCCTCCACAAATGCTTAAAAATAAATAAAATCATATTTCCTCTTTGTTCATTATATGTGGAGCATGTAGATGTCGCCGCCACGTCACTCCCCTCCTAAGTGTTGATCTTTACTTGAGTACAGTTAGAAAGGGATGTCGCTATATGGTCATACATAGCGACATCCCTTTCTAACTGCCTTACCTTTGTAATATGAGCCTAAGATAGATGGAAACGCAAAATAAATGTATCATAGGCTAGGCTATTTGACATTATGAAAAATAAAATATCTACCAAATGATGGCATGTATATTAGCAGCGATTTTACTATTCCGAGAGAACAAAGTAATTAACAACTTTTCTACAAAATCGTTAAATAGTCACAATTTTTTCATTGTATGGTCACGTGACCGAAAATGCCTGGGATTGGTGAAGACTACACACACAGACGTCACACGCCAATAAACTTCCGGTCAAAGTGTCATTACATTGTATCGTTTGACGTTTTAACGACAGCCGTGTGACGTCACATACTAGTAATACGCCATAACGTCCAGAGAAACGTTTTCGAGGAAACTTTTTTAATTTATTTTTTTTTACTGAAATACAAAACAAAATGATGAATATCCATTTTTATGGAATCTACAAACATCTCTTATCTATTAGACAAGTCCGTCCGTCCGTCTGTCTGTGGTGCTGTTTCAGCGGCCAAACCGTAAGAGATAGATAAAGAGAATATTTAAGTTATAAGTTAAGAATAGTCTGATAAGACTACAAACCGGATTTGAGTAACGTAGCACTTCCGGTTTTCGAGAAATCACGTGATTTCTATTTTGTAATTATCACAATTTTAATTAACTATTTAAAGGTTTTTTTTTTAATTTTTTTTTTAACTAAATAATTTCAAACGAATCCACACAAAATCTCCGAAATTCTCAATTAATTAAATTCATTTTTTAAATCAGGTTTTGGTGAACATTTGGTTCACTGGTTTGCTAACTTAGTAAATAACGCGATATCGTTTTCTGAAACATGTAAAATACCCTATTGTCAATAGGCAAACGGAAAACGTGTTAACTTGAGATTTATATACCGACTAGCGACCGCCCGCGACATTGTTTATTTGGGAATCCAACAAAAACCTACTATTTTTCGGGATAAATTATCCTATGTTGTTACGGGTTAATGCACGAAACTTTATTTATTTATTGACGTTTCGCAGCCTTTTCAGGTCTGCATCGTCAGAATAATGACCTGAAAAGGCTGCGAAACGTCAATAAATAAATAAAGTTTCGTGCATTAACCCGTAACAACTAGTTTTATTTAATGAGTGATGTGCGTGAAAACCTAAGAAACAAAAATTATCCTATGTCTCAATGCTGGTCATAAAATATATGAGTACCAAAATTTCATCGAAATCCGTTCAGCATTTTTTGCGTGATTGAGTAACAAACATAGAAACATTCACATTTATAGTAGTAGTTGGATAACAGAAATTATAAAAAAATGCAATAAGAATGAAATTGAGTATTGATTGATTTATTGTAAAGTTCAACTGACTTTTAGTATACTTATTATTTGATCCTTTTTTTAAAGGTAAAGTTAAAAGCTTCACTGTTTTCGACTTTCGTGAAAACGTAGTTTAAAGAAAATATAACTAGAAAAAATTCCACGCGGGCCAGGCAGCAGACGGGACTTGAACCCGCACCCTTCGCAATCCGGGCGAATGCACTGACCAATTATGCTACCACGGCCCTGACGGACCGCGTCGAAATTCTTCTAGCCATTCTTAATCTGCAAGGCAGCGCCATCTCTTCGCATTATAGGTAACCCACAATGTCAAATAAATACTTTTACAAGTATTAAACATTTGAAAGAAGAAATAGCAATTATAGTTATAATTTTTATTATTTTAAAGCATCCCTAAGGGGGTAATACGGGGGTTGGAAGTTTGTGTGAAAATCCTATGTTTTTGAAGTAACTGCTTGATGTTTAAATCTAAAGAAAATATAACTAGAAAAAATTCCACGCGGACCAGGCAGCAGACGGGACTTGAACCCGCACCCTTCGCTAAAAATCCCGTTAAAGTCCCGTCTGCTGCCTGGTCCGCGTGGATTTTTTTCTAGTTATATTTTCTTTGGATTTAAACATCAAGCAGTTACATGCTTTAAAATAATAAAAATTATAACGTAGTTTAATATTGAGAATAATTTAAGGTTATGTACTTACTTGGAAAAACCTAACTATTTCTGCAGTAACTTGTAACGATATAGGTATAAGATTATTATACAATATTAAAAATGTCAAAAAGTTAAATCCGAAGTGTGCATTCTGCGCTTCTGTAACAATAGAAAAAAAAAACAGATGAATGTAACAGTAGTTACAATAGGTGATGACGGGGTACAGTAAACGAAATTTTATTTAGTCCGTCAGTTAGATGATCAAAAAATAATGGACACGCATTTTTTCTTTGGGCAATCAACCAAAAAATGATAAAGTTATAGCGCGTCAAAGTTTGGGAGTAGGGGCTCGTGACGTCACTTTTGAGTGAATTTTCACTTATAAGTGTACTCAAACGTGACGTCATACGACTTTTCAAATCAATATATCTCTGCAATGTTTATATTATGTGAAAAAAGTAAAAATACGTGTCCAATACTTTTTGATAATCTAGCTGATAAACGAAGAAAAAAAAAATAGTCTAAAGAAAAGTTTACTAGAAAAAAATCCACGCGGACCAGGCAGCGGACGGGACTCGAACCCGCATCCTTCGCTATCCGGGCGAATGCACTGACCATTATGCTACCACGGCCCTAATAATAATAATGGTCAGTGCATTCGCCCGGATAGCGAAGGATGCAGGTTCGAGTCCCGTCCGCTGCCTGGTCCACGTGGATTTTTTTCTAGTAAACTTTTCTTTAGATTTAACATCTAGCAGTTAAATGCTTAAAAATAAATAAAATCATAAAAAAAATAGTCATCATATCCTATTGCAGACGGATACTTCTACCCCCTTATTCATGAACGAGGAATAACCTTGGACTAGTTACGCCGTGTTTTGTCCATATAACTGAAATGACATTTGTAATTCAACGAAGAGACAGAACGTGGAGTAACTAATCCAAGCTTATTCTCCGTTTTTTTTTCTATATGGCTTCGCACAGTTTGTGCAGTTAGCCAATGTCAAGTGTTAAAATGTTTACAAATACTATAGCACTAGAGGAGCTCGATGGCGCAGGTGGTTAGCGCGTTCGGCTGCGATCGTTGTAGTTAAGCAACTTTCGCAGTGGTCGGTCATTGGATGGGTGACCAAAAATTTCTATCTCGAGTTCCTCCGTGCTTCGGAAGGCACGTTAAGCCGTTGGTCCCGGTTGCATCTGCAGTCGTTATCAGCCGCCAATCCGCACTGGGCCCGCGTGGTGGGTCATGGCCCAATCTCCCTATTCCATCCATAGGGAAGGCCTGTGCCCCAGCAGTAGGGAAATTAAGACGCTGATGATGATGATGATGATGACTATAGCACTCGTGGTCAAAGTAATATACCGAGTCACAAAGTAAGTGGCAGTCAAGTCAATCCCCCTTTCCCTATGTTTCAGTAAATGTGTGGGGGTTTACTGGAACCTCCCCGTGGACTTCTTGAGGGAACGTCGAAAGACACTTTCCGCTATTTCGTTTCACTTGCCAACACTTGTGCATGTTCCCGAACACTTAGTGGTTAATAATCCACCATTATTAGACACTAACATCCGCCACAAACACAATTTTTAACAAGAAAAACAAAACTGCTAAAGTGACGCTTCCCGATCCCGCCAAAAAGACCCTTATTCTTCGTTTGTTAATAAGGGGGGTGTATCAGTTTGATAAAAGTTTAAAAACTTTTCTGCCATTGGCCGGATTGTGTCGTCACTCCAGCCAATGACAGCCCTTTTCTTGTGTGACATAGTTTTCCATCCTTGTTTTTTGTAAAAAAAATTGTGAATAAGAAAACACTAACACTAAAATTTATTTAGTATTACATGGTTTATTTTGAAATGAATGAATATGATTGAAGATTCTGTATAGATATAATTTTAATCAAAAAAATATTTAATGGAATTATTTGTAATATAATTATATCATGGTATTTATAATTGTATAGTAAAGACCCCTATTTTAATTTAATTTAACTTTAATTTAGTCTTTTGTATAAATTGCATGCCATTTATGGTAAAATATGTAGAATCTGTTTGTATACATGTCATCTTATTGTACCATATTTTTTGCAATAAATAAATCTAAATCTAAATCTAAAGGACCCATCCTTATAAGGCGTCACACACATTTTGCGATTATTTACCTCAACTTTCCTTATCCACACACTGTTGTGTCATCGCATCAATTTGCATAAATAAAACATAATATGGAAATATTTTTTTAAATATAAAAAAAATAAGTAAAAAATTTACCGGCTTAAAATAGGGTATTTGACAGAATTAAAAATAAAGTACCAATTGTTAGCATCTGTGTTTAGAATGAATATTGGCAGAGAGGGGTTTTTACTATTTTTACAAAACATAATCAATTTTACAAAAACCCCATTAAAAAGATAATAGTTTTCTTATCTATTGTCACGTGACCCAAAACGCTTGGGATTAGCGGAGCCTAAAATGACGTCACACGCAAGTAAACTCCCGGTTAAAGTGACATTACATTGTATCATTTGACGTTTTAATAACAGTCGTGTGACGTCACACACTAGTAGGTCGCCATATTGTCCAGAGAAACGTTTTCGCGGCAACTTGAAAATGGAGTTTTTGATTTGGTTATTTTTACTGAATTACACAACAGAATGATGAATATCTACTTTTTACGGACTCCATAAACATTAGACAATAACGTGAGATACTTTACAAAAATTTGTCAAATACCCTATTTCCGAACCCCATCCTGTCACGTACAAGCAACAATAGCTCTTACTCCCTAGTAAATAATGATTGTTTTGGCATGTACCTGTGAGTCCGATGTACCAGTCGTTGTGGTTGCGCATCCACAGCTCGTTGCAGACGGCGCTGAGCAGCGACAGCGCCAACAATATCATAAACAGCATCAGGATGTGAGTGTTGGTCTGTCGGTCGATGGACGAACGCTTCAAGGGCGCTGGACAAGCAAGAGCAAACACTATAGTATGAGCACATTTTAGGGTTCCGTACAACGATATTAAATACCCTAGATACACCACGAGCGCTCAAAATGTGTCCCAATCAAGAAGTGCTTGAACACGATTCAAGCACTTCTTGATTCACAGTCAGGCGCGGACCGTTGAAAAGTCAACATGCCGCTGAGCTCCGTGAAAACAGGCGAAAGAAATACATAAAGATGTAAAAAATGACGTTTTTTCGACAGGTATCTCATCACTGTTGTTAATTTTACGCATTTGAAGTAAATTAAGTAAATTTTGTTTTAATACTTACCATAAACTGATTAAATAGAAAATATTTGTGATATTCAAATGCATGGTCGATAATATAGCCGTCTCTTTTCCTCGCGGACCGTACCTGCCATATTACTAACAGCGCATTCAGAATTGCGCGTACACCAAAAGAAATAAGGTCTTTATTCTTCTGCATATAGCAATAACCCGTAAAATTTTACGAGCTTACATATCGGACTGTCATAACTCTATGACGCGTGCGTTTTAATTAAGACCTTATACAGTATGCTTTAAAGGTGATTTTCAATGTTTAAATAATGCCTTATATTGTTTAGAATACGCAATCATCTTACTTACGGAGCTCCGTGGATCGTCCAATGTACCTTGTGGACAGGTTTCGGGCATGATTTTGTTCGTGTTGGTGTATCTAGGGTATTTAATATCGTTGGTTCCGTAGCCAAATGGCAAAAAACGGAACCCTTTGGGATTCGTCATGTCTGTTTGTCCGGCCGTATGTCACAGGCAGTTTTTTCCGAAACTATACTGTTGACAATTGGTAGTAGTATTCTGTGAACCGCATTAAGATTTTCACACAAAAATGGAAAATAAAACAATAAATTTTGTGGGTTCCCCATATTTAGAATGCATCATCTTGTCTCCATTTTGTTCTTTATTTATTCCATAGACAACATTTCATAAGTTACGGTTTTGTCTTTTTTTTCTCTCTTATTTTGGTGTATCCAAATTTTCGTAGGCAAAGAGCTGAGCCCACACAGCCTCTTATGTTTTTTTTTTTGTTTAGTGCTACACTGCTATAGGCGAGGGATACGAGGTACAGATTGGTTTTTGTTTTGTGTATTAAGTGATTGCCTTGTATTTCCGTCCGTTGATGTCCAAATTAGGTCCCTCCAGAATATCAGCGTTGCAGCGGCAATCCATTTTTGCCGTTGCAACATTATGCTGAGATGGGGCCTAGTTGACGATGTACCTTTTGTTTTATGTTTGTTGTGTATTTATTGTAATAGGGTATTCGACAGTATTAAAAATTAAGTGCCAATTGTTAGCATCTGTATTTAAAAATTAATATTGGCAGGAGTTTTTACTATTTTTACAGAAAAAATATTCATAATTTTAATAAAAACCCACGATAAAGATAATAGTTTTCTTGTCTATTGTCACGTGACCCAAAACGCTGTGGATTGGCGGAGCCTAAAATGACGTCACACGCAAGTAAACCTCAGGTTAAAGTGACATTAGATTGTATGGTTTGTCGTTTTAATGACAGTCGTGTGACGTCACACACCAGTGAGACGCCATATTATTCAGAAATACGTTTTTCGCGGCAACTTGAAAATAGGGGTTTTTTTTTACCGAAATACACAACATAGTGATGAATATCCACTTTTTATGGACTTTATAAACATTAGTAAATAACGTAAGACCGTTTTCTAAAACTTGTCAAATACCATATTGTTAATGTATGTCGTCAATAAATGTTTTTCTTACTTTCTTTCTTAGAACTGAAGCTGTGAAGCTGAAACTGATGCGCTGTTAGCAATATAGCGGGTACGGACCGCGAGGAAAAGAGACGGCTTCTGCTTGGTCGACCGATCACCTGGGGCCGGCCCTTAGATTAAAACAAAAAGGGTAGATACGGCACTAGCCTCACAAAAGTGATCCGCACCAATTGTGGTCCTCGACCCTAATCGCTTTAGTCACAACTTGACATGCAAACGACGTACATGTGAACGCCAAAAAGAAATATTGATAATATTTTGTGTTTATATGATAAAACAATCCCTAAGTGTGTTTTTAAAAAGTGCTGAAATTGCTCAAGAACTAAAAATACAACCCACGGCATCACTTTTCATTCGTAAGTACTATAAAATATATTATTTCATAAAAATTGCTGTTTGTTTTGAATCTTATTCGGTAGCGACGTCGAGTACTGGTCGCCTGATTGGTCGGTAATGCAGTGACACGGATCTCGCCGTCTCATTCGCGCTGCCGTTGAAACTTAACGTGCTGTTTCGTTCGGGTCGGTAATGCAGTGACGCGGATCTCGCCGTCCCGTTCGCGCTGCCGTGGGATCAGTTTTTGTTTGATGCAAGTATGAGCGTACCGTATCTACCCTTTTTGTTTTAATGTAAGGGCCGGCCCGATGTGATGGTCCTAGGACAGTTACCTTTGGTGGAGTTCTTCATGAGCTTGGTCTCGTGGCCGGTGTATATGACGACTCCGTGCACCCAGGCCGTGTTGCGCAGCATGGCGCCGCGCAACAACATCTGCTCCAGACCCAGGGGTATCGTTCTATGGACAAAATCTCTTATCTATTAGACAAGTCCGTCTGTCTGTGGTGCTGTTTCAGCGGCCAAACCGTAAGAGATAGATAAAGAGAATATTTAAGTTATAAGTTAAGAATAGTCTGATAAGACTACAAACCGGATTTGAGTAACGTAGCACTTCCGGTTTTCGAGAAATCAGGTTTTGGTGAACATTTGGTTCACTGGTTTGCTAGTTATACAACTAATACGTCATCATTGTTAGTTATTTTAGAAACCTTATTATAATACGATTCAACTAAGAATAGGACCGACTGGGCGATATATTTTGACGTCATAGCTGTCAATTCAAACCAAATAGGTAGAGTGAGCAAAAAAAAAAGTTTCTATTTAATAAAACTTATTTACTTAAATTTAGTGAGAAAAAACATCAGATTTTTTAATAAAATTAATTTACCAAGATTGAGAGAAAAAACAACAGATTTTTAATAATATTTCTTTATTAAGCCTGTGTGAGAAAAAACATTAATCAGAATCTTGCTCTCCAATTCCGCTCATCTCTGCATTACCGCCGGTGTAGTTATGAATAATCATGCAGGTCACATACGAACATGCATCCTATATGTAAACGAAAGTATTAAATCGAGTTTCTGAACGCAACTTATAGTGACATTTGGTTGACCATTTAGGTTATCAACCATCCATAACCAAAGCTCAATAAATGAAAAAAAAATATATCAAACAATAATAATTATCAATATTTGTTATTGTTTGTTTAAAAATGTTTGATTTTTATTCTAAAATTAGCTGAGTGAGTAATAGTGTTCCAAGATTTTTTTGCAAACTATACTTTTCAAGCGACATTTGACAGATGGAGGTCATTGGCTTTCCTATTCTTATTTGAATCGCATTATAAAGAATCTCACCTGACTTATTAAGGGGAGATTACTTAGAATAATAGTCAGCGGTGGCAATAGGCTTCGTGAATTTATACTCTTAGTACTTCAGTTGTTTCCGATTTCCTTAATAATTAGTGTACTTCTAAAAAGTAATAGAATAAACTCCAAGCGACAAGACAAGCGTACATTACAAATTTCAACCACATCAGCTGTCGAACTCAAATGAATCTCTATATTTGCCAGCTTAACAAATTGTGGCGACGACATTTACACGCCCCACATAATAACCAACATGGAGGAATTAATTACTCGCCTCTTCAAGAGATGGCGCTATCGGCGCTGTGATTAATTAGTATGGAAGCCTACATCGCGCAAAGGAAATTCGGAGGCAAACAATATATAGTAATGCCCGACCAACATCAGTCGGGGCGCGGCCCCCGAGCTAACATCACCAAGCTCGGAGGAAGATCTTCCCGTTTGGCCTTCCTACACAATCTTATTCTATACTTAGATGTCTGACTCGAGTCTACGACACTGTAGAATAGGGGTGATGACGTGGTACGGTAAACGAAATTCTATTTAGTCCGTCAGTTAGGTGATCAAAAAATAATGGACACGTATTTTTTCTTTGGGCAATCAACCAAAAAATTACAAAGTTATAGCGCGTCAAAGTTTGGGAGTAGGGGCTCGTGACGTCACTTTTTAGTAAAATTTCACTTAAAAGTGTAACGAAACGTGACTTCATGCGACTTTTCAAATCAATATATCTCTGCGATGTTTATATTATGTGGAAAAAGAAAAAATACGTGTCCAATACTTTTTGATAATCTATCTGATAAACGAAGAAAAAAAAATAGTCATCATCCCTATTGTGCTAGTTCCCTACAAGCAGATCCGAGTTAAACTCAGACAACAGACGACCTGCGTGGCCGAGTGGTTTGTACGCCGGGTTTCATGGTGTCGCCGACTCGAGAGGTCCCGGGTTCGAATCCCGGTGGGGGCAGATGTTTGTGTGATGAACATGAGCAATTGTACTCCAGTAATGGATGTTTAATATGTATTTCTATATAAATATACTTTATATATGTACTGTATATGTATTCTATCCATTACCCTAGCATCCCATAACACAAGCCTTATAATGCTTACTTTGGTGCTAGGCTAATTGGTGTGAGTGTTGGAAATATTTATTATTTACTAGTGGCCCGCCCTCGCTTCGCTTCGGTGTAGAGCTGTAGTGTAAACTATAGTTTTTTGTTCTCAGGCTTGTGCTATAAAGAATGACTTTTTATTTATATAATTACACGTGTTATTGTGAGTCAACCATTAAAGATAGACATATGTTGTTGCGGGATATTTTTTAGACAATTTTATGTAGAATATTTCCGTCATACATGATTTCTATGTAACTTTAACCATTAAGGCTGCACACGCGACGGAAGCTTAAAAAATGGAGTAACTTCTCCCGTTTTCCCAACATTTCCCTTCACTACTCTGCTGCTATTGATTGTAGCGTGATGAAAAGTATACTATAACCTGCCCAGGAGTATGAAGAATAATTGTACCAAGTTTCGTTAAAATCCGTTGAGTAGTTTTTGTTTCTATAAGGAACATACACACAGACAGACAGACAGACAAAAATTTTACTGATTGCATTTTTGGCATCAGTATCGATCACTTATCACCCCCTGATAGTTATTTTAAAAATATTTTTCATGTACAGAATTGACATCTCTACAGATTTATTATAAGTATAGATTATTATTATTTAAACTCTTAACAAGAATTCCACAGATAAAATAACTCACTTGGCGTTGGGCTCCTTCAGCATTCCGTTGAACTCGTACAAATGCCTATTGGGCGGTTCGCACTGCACAGTAGCTCTGAATTGCGCCAGTTCCCGCGTGCAATCCAGTCGAGCAGTTTCATTGTGCGCTTGCCGAATCTTCAGATTCGTCTCGCCGTCTAAGTTGGACGTCTCGATGAAAGATATGCCCTGGGGCTCGCTAGAAAACATAAACACAATCTATCTATATATATAAAACTCAAAGATGACTGACTGACTGACATAGTGATCTATAAACGCACAGCCCAAACCACTGGACGGATCGGGCTAAAATTTGGCAAGCAGGTATATGTTATGACGTAAGCATCCGCTAAGAAAGGATTTTGATCAATTCTACCCCCAAGGGGATAAAATAGGGAATGAAAGTTTGTAACAAACTTTGTCAATTTTAAACCGATCGGGCTGAGACTTTGCATGCAGGTATAAGAAGAATCATAGATGAGCGTCATTGTGTATAATACAAGCCTGAGAACAAAAACTGTAGTCTACACTTCAGCTCTACACCGAAGCGAAGCGAGGGCGGGCCGCTAGTTTTATTAATATAGTCAACAATTATCAATTCGAACTGTCTTATCTCTTTGACGCATACGTTTTCATTAAGAGCTTTTACAGTATGCTATATATGTTTTGTAAGCCCTTTGATTACGTATGTGTGAGTAATAAAGAGTATATCTATCTATCTATGCATTAAAGGTGACTTTTAATGTTTAAATCATGCCTTATATTGTTTTTGACCACGCGATCAGCTTACGGAGCTTCGTGGATCGTTCAATGTACCTTTTGGGCAGGTTTTGGCCACGATTTTGTTCGTGTTGGTGCATCTAGGTTATTCAATATCGTTGAATACTACTATTAAATTGAGGTGTGGTGTGGAAATGACTGAATTTAAATTTCCACACTGATTTAATTAGAACAGACAGAGCCAGATTTTTTTTAAAGCTGTGTTGATCGCTAGTGTTGTATATAATTCACAATTTTTAGTATCTCTTATATTAGTCTTATATCAGTCCGTCCGTCCGTCTGTGGTGCTGTTTCAGCGGCCAAACCGTAAGAGATAGATAAAGAAAATATTTAAGTTATAAGTTAAGAATAGTCTGATAAGACTACAAACCGGATTTGAGTAACGTAGCACTTCCGGTTTTCGAGAAATCACGAATTTCAAACGAAACCACACAAAATCTCCGAAGTTCTCAATTAATTAAATACATTTTCTTTTTTTAATCAGGTTTTGGTGAACATTTGGTTCACTGGTTTGCTAGTATTTATTAAAAAACTACTTCTTAACTGGTAACGCTGTCGGGCTACAGACCAGTGTTTCAGGGGGGGGGGAGGTATCACACTCGGTGGCCCGTCCCCATCAAGATCGACCACCAGCTATGACGTACTTGGTGGACGACGTGATGGACAGGGAGGGGACGGATTCAAAGAAGGGGGTGCCCCTGAGCCAGAATTTGATCTTTATCGGCCGAGTTTATAAATGAACAGGGAATCAGATAGCATTGTGGAGTGCTCGAGACAGGACAATGTGAGTGTGAGTTACCCTATCTAAAGAGAATAAATATAAATAAATAAATATTTCCAACACTCACACCAATTAGCCTAGCCCCAAAGTAAGCACTGTAAGGCTTGTGTTATGGGATGCTAGGGTAACGGATAGAATACATATACTGTACATATATAAGTATATTTATATAGAAATACATATTAAACATCCATGACTGGAGTAGAAATGCTCGTATTCATCACACAAACATCTGCCCCCACCGGGATTCGAACCCGGGACCTCTCGAGTCGGCGACGCCATGAAACCCGGCGTACAAACCACTCGGCCACGGAGGTCGTCAAATGAACAGGGAATCAGATAGCATTGTGGAGTGCTCAAGACAGAATATCTAAAGAGAAGATAGGGTAACTCACACTTACATTGAAAAAAAACATTTCTGGTTTTCAAAAAATCACACACTGACACACATATATATGTGTTTGAAAGTTATTTCTCGATTAAAACTTGAAATGGTGAAAAAATGACTTTACAGTGGTCATTGTTTTTATTAAATAAAAAAATTCAATGGTCAACGCACCTTATATCTCAACTCAGAAATCACACTTGACGGAGTGGAAAACAGGTTAAGAATGCCGGCAAACGAAAAACGCGGTTCCGGCGTCAAATAAAACCAGACTAAATAGGGGCAAACTTCGCAGGATTATAGGATCCCTGACTGGTCATTGTCCCCTAAACAAACATCTATATACAATAGGAGTCACGGACAGCCCCCTATGCAGAGGATACATGGAGGCAGAAGAAACGCCACAGCATGTCATCATGGAATGCAGGAGTGTGGCCGACCAACGGGCACGACTTCTCCAGTCACCAGAATCGTTTCCGGAAGCTTGCAGCAGTCTACCAAGGTTACTTTCCTTCTGGACGGATATAGGCTGGCTGGAGTAAACGGGAATGTTTTTAAGACACGCGCAATGGTCCAATAATCTCTTATCTAATAGACAAGTCCGTCCGTCCGTCCGTGGTGCTGTTTCAGCGGCCAAACCGTAACATATAGATATAGAGAATGTTCAAGTTATAAGTTAAGAATAGTCTGACAAGACTACAAACCGGATGTGAGTAACGTAGCACTTCCGGTTTTTGAGAAATCACGTGATTTCTATTTCAAACGAAACCACACAAAATCTCCGAAGTTCTCAATTAATTAAATACATTGTTTTTTTTTTTTGGTGAACATTTGGTTCACTGGTTTGCTAGTTAGGACTAAGTGCGGAAACCGCCCTGAAGAACTAACTAACTAACACCTTATATCTATGCGAGGATCTGAACCTATAGTCATTTCACGTACCTGGAGGACAGCAGCACCAGGTCCGCGGGGAAGAACTGGTTGTTGATCACCTTGCACACGTCGCCCACCTGCAGCCGCTCCCAGCGCACCGTGACCCACTGGCCCTCGCGCAACACTTCCACCTTCCGCCGGTTCGTCTCATCGTCGGCTCTGTGCCGCTTCTGTTGACAACACCATCATAATCATCATCAGCCTATAAGGCGCTTTGCAGACGACGCGACGGGGCGGGGCGGGCTTTTTGTCCGCGAAGCAATAAAGACCGCGTCTGCCTGTCGATGTCTGCGGCTGCCCGCGCCGCGTACACAAAGTACACGACGGGCAGAGGCAGTCAGTTCAGAACGTTCGTTCTAGTGAATAGTCCATCACTAAAAGCGCGTGGCGCGGACTGAGCTAGCCGCCCCGCGCCGCCGTCTGCGTTACTGCATATAAACTGGTTTGTATGATCCACGGCGGGCAGCCGCGGACATGCCGCGCCGCCAGTGCCCGCCGGGCACCCAAGGCGCGGTCTTTTTGCCCTCTGTGTGCGTTTGTAGTATAGGATTCACTTTGTGCATTCACACATTCGCGGCGAAATTGATCGGCCCGCCCCGCCCCGTCGTCTGCAAAGCGCCTTAATGTCCCTATACTATACTAGAGGATCAAATACTATATTTCTAAAAAATATATATAGTAGGCGAAACTATTATATTTTTTCAGCTACAAACTATTCAGCTAAAAACTGAATTATTAAAGTATAGAGCAGCAAAAATATTTTAAACACATACTTATTTTTTTGCCTTCTACTATATCTTTAGAGGTAACATTTTCAAAAAAAAAATGACAGAAACAAAGTTTAAATCTAAAGAAAAGTTTTACTAGAAAAAAATCCACGCGGCCCAGGCAGCGGACGGGACTCGAACCTCGCACCCTTCGCAATCAGGGCCGTGGTAGCATAATTGGTCAATGCATTCGCCCGGTTCAGCTAAATGCTTAAAACAAAAAAAAAACAGAAACAAAGTTGGTAAACCTAGATGTGCCTTGCTAAGTTGTATGTAATACGTCTCGCGCCGTTGCGCGACTCAAGCGCAAAATCAGTTTACCCTACCAGTATAGTCCCGTCGCGTCATCGTCGCTCACTGTGAACTGACCCTAAGGAAAAAGTGCTCATACTCATATATTTTGCATTATTGCCAGCACACAGTGTTTCGTAACATTCAGCAACGGGCCGAGACTATATCATTACCCTGACATCATTCTCTAAAAAGGGATGTGCTCAAATTTATTCAGCAGTATGACGCGAGCGACTGAGCACATGAACTGTCCTCATAGAAGTTGTGTTATATTGCGTTTTGTTTACTTAGCCAGAAATAGTGGCCGCAACGCATAAAAGGGCGGAGATGTCAACTTATTTATAACTAGTGGCCCGCCCTCGCTTCGCTTCGGTATAGAGCTGTAGTATAAACTATAGTTTTTGTTCTCAGGCTTGTGCTATAAAGAATGACTTTATTTATTTAATTACACGTGTTATTGTGAGTCAACTATAAAAGATAGACATATGCTGTTGTGGGATATTTTTAGACAATTTTATGTAGAATATTTCCGTCATACATGATTTCTATGTAACTTTAACCATTAAGACTGCACACGCGACGGAAGCTTAAAAAATGGAGTAACTGCTCCCGTTTTCCCAACATTTCCCTTTACTACTCTGCTCCTATTGATTGTAGCGTGATGAAAAGTATACTATAACCTGCCCAGGAGTATGAAAAATAATTGTACCAAGTTTCGTTAAAATCCGTTGAGTAGTTTTTGTTTCTATAAGGAACATACACACAGACAGACAGACAGACAGACAAAAATTTTACTGATTGCATTTTTGGCATCAGTATCGATCACTAATCACCCCCTGATAGTTATTTTAAAAATATATTTCATGTACAGAATTGACATCTCTACAGATTTATTATAAGTATAGATATTACAGGTCGCTACTCATTGACGTCACTATCCTTGTCAAGTGGTGGTATTTTCTGTTCGTGTGTCCTTCTTACCTATGGAAACATTTATGACTAATATTGTACTTTTAGACGCTGACTTTATCATCAATGTTATTAATAGAAATGGTATTTGCATAAGTACAGTTACATGTTTGTAAGTTAGGCGGTTTCATCAATAACCATCTATCATCCATCTTATTGCTTGTTCAGAATTCTTTGGTAACTTAGACAAATATGGTATAAGGCTTCTAATTAGAACAAACAATTTATTTAAAGATTTTCCTTTTCTAGTAGAATATAAAATCTTACAGATTAATGCTTAAAAAATGGGTGCGTGTACTTATGTAGGCGCGTGAGAAGTTATCCTTCTTTGGCATCGTTTAAAATTAGTTTTTAATTGCATGCAAATAATTAATTACAATAAATTAATAAAAAGTCTAGAAAAGGACACAGTCAATAAAGTTCAGTTTTAACTTGAAAAAATAAATAAATAATCAAAATATTCAATTAAAATCGCTACTGAATATAATTTATTAGTACATAATATGTGATTTGCACTTGTATGAAACTCAAACACGTATTCCGAATATACAAACTAGAAACATGTGGATAAATATTATAAATATGAATACCTATAACTGTTACTTTATTACAAAAAATAAAGATGTGGTTTTTGGTTCTACTACACCAATTGTTAAGAGATGGCGCTGTAGTCCCCTGAATCGCGCTTTGGTTCCGTTGTTCCAGATTAATAAATACTTTTGATATTATAAATATGAATACCTATAACTGTTACTTTATTACAAAAATAAAGATGTGGTTTTTGGTTCTACTACACCAATGGTCAAGAGATGGCGCTGTAGTCTCCTGAATCGCGCTTTGGTTCCGTTGTTCCAGATTAAAAATTAAAAAGAATAAAATTATTCACTACTAAAAGTGTACAGAAGTACTTAACCAAATGTTTATTTTATACCTCCCACGATAATTAGTTTCTGAAGAAAGTGTTTATTAATAATTAAATTTATAATTAAAGAAATCATTTTTAATTTGTCACAAAATTTCTGAAACACTTTGGTACAACAAATAAATAAACAGCGAAACAATCTGTTCTTCTTTTGTATGTATGTATTTGAATAAATTAGCGCGGTCCATCAATCTATCCATAATATAGTCTAAAGAAAATATAACTAGAAAAAATTCCACGCGGACCAGGCAGCAGACGGGACTCGAACCCGCACCCTTCGCAATCCGGGCGAATGCACTGACCAACTATGCTACCGCGGCCCTCACGGACCGCGTCGAAATTCTTTCTGGCTATTCTTAAGCTGCAAGGCAGCGCCATCTCTTCGCATTATAGGTAAACCCACAATTAATTAATTAGATTTAAACATCAAGCAGTTACATGCTTTAAAAATAATAAAAATTATAACCATAATATAGTCGTTAAAAATACATAGATTTGTGATCAGGTCAATCAGTTGAATTGCATCAAGTTGTTTATTAACATTATTGTGATTGTTGTGTATGCTTGTAATTGCTCTGCATATAAGAAAACTGTTTAGTATCCGACCTATTCATTAATGTATTAATATGTGTGACTGTTAGCATGCCTAAATAAATAAAGAAATAAAATACAGAACATGGTTTTATCTATAAGCTACCAATATGCATTTCATATTTTAATTTTAACATCTGCCGAATAGCCAATTAAATAGACGCCAGTGCTCCATGCTGTATGATGCGAAACGGTACACCGCTTCTGTCTAATTGGCGTAAAAACAACGTTACTTTAATTATTACCAATTTTATTAATTGCATTTATAGTAAAAATAACTGTAGCATATTTTTGCACCCTATTAAAATTCCTCCGTTTTGCCTGTCCGTCGCAAGGCGTTTATCTCTTGAAAAGAAATAGATGGCCATACCCTAATTTTTCACAGAATTAAATAAATAAACTATTACGCTTACGCTATTAGCAGGAAGAAGCTGTTGATGGGAACTTACGAGGTCCTACACGATCTCCTTGATGACGCTCACGCTCAGGATGAGTATGAGCGGCGTGAGCGTGGTCGGGGATCTGCTGCAGCCGCGAAAGGCAGGAAAAAGCAGTTGATGGGCACTTACGAAGTCCTCAACGATCGCGTTGATGGCGCTCACGCTCAGGATGAGTATGAGCGGCGTGAGCGGGCTCCAGCGGCCGGTGGGCGACACATCTGGGATCTGCTGCAGCCGCGCTATTGGCAGGAAAAAGCAGTTGGTAGGCACTTACGAAGTCCTCAACGATCTCCTTGATGGCGCTCACGCTCAGGATGAGTATGAGCGGCGTGAGCGTGGTCCAGCGGCCGGTGGTCGACACGTCGGGGATCTGCTGCAGCCGCGAAAGGCAGGAAAAAGCAGTTGATGGGCACTTACGAAATCCTCAACGATCGCCTTGATGGCGCTCACGCTCAGGATGAGTATGAGCGGCGTGAGCGTGGTCCAGCGGCCGGTGGGCGACACGTCGGGGATCTGCTGCAGCAGCGCTATAGGCAGGAAAAAGCAGTTGGTGAGCACTTACGAAGTCCTCAACGATCTCCTTGATGGCGCTCACGCTCAGGATGAGTATGAGCGGCGTGAGCGTGGTCCAGCGGCCGGTGGGCGACAAGTCGGGGATCTGCTGCAGCAGCGCTATAGGCAGGAAAAAGCAGTTGGTGAGCACTTACGAAGTCCTCAACGATCTCCTTGATGGCGCTCACGCTCAGGATGAGTATGAGCGGCGTGAGCGTGGTCCAGCGGCCGGTGGGCGACACGTCTGGGATCTGCTGCAGCCGCGCTATGGGCAGGAAAAAGCAGTTGGTAGGCACTTACGAAATCCTCAACGATCTCCTTGATGGCGCTCACGCTCAGGATGAGTATGAGCGGCGTGAGCGTGGTCCAGCGGCCGGTGGGCGACACGTCTGGGATCTGCTGCAGCCGCGCTATGGGCAGGAAAAAGCAGTTGGTAGGCACTTACGAAATCCTCAACGATCTCCTTGATGGCGCTCACGCTCAGGATGAGTATGAGCGGCGTGAGCGTGGTCCAGCGGCCGGTGGGCGACACGTCTGGGATCTGCTGCAGCCGCGCTATCGGCAGGAAAAAGCAGTTGGTGGGCACTTACGAAGTCCTCAACGATCTCCTTGATGGCGCTCACGCTCAGGATGAGTATGAGCGGCGTGAGCGTGGTCCAGCGGCCGGTGGGCGACACGTCGGGGATCTGCTGCAGCTGCGCTATCGGCAGGAAAAAGGAGTTGGTGGGCACTTACGAAGTCCTCAACGATCTCCTTGATGGCGCTCACGCTCAGGATGAGTATGAGCGGCGTGAGCGTGGTCCAGCGGCCGGTGGGCGACACGTCGGGGATCTGCTGCAGCAGCGCTATAGGCAGGAAAAAGCAGTTGGTGAGCACTTACGAAGTCCTCAACGATCTCCTTGATGGCGCTCACGCTCAGGATGAGTATGAGCGGCGTGAGCGTGGTCCAGCGGCCGGTGGGCGACACGTCTGGGATCTGCTGCAGCCGCGCTATCGGCAGGAAAAAGCAGTTGGTGGGCACTTACGAAGTCCTCAACGATCTCCTTGATGGCGCTCACGCTCAGGATGAGTATGAGCGGCGTGAGCGTGGTCCAGCTGCCGGTGGTCGACACGTCTGGGATCTGCTGCAGCCGCGCTATCGGCAGGAAAAAGCAGTTGGTGGGCACTTACGAAGTCCTCAACGATCTCCTTGATGGCGCTCACGCTCAGGATGAGTATGAGCGGCGTGAGCGTGGTCCAGCGGCCGGTGGGCGACACGTCGGGGATCTGCTGCAGCAGCGCTATAGGCAGGAAAAAGCAGTTGGTGAGCACTTACGAAGTCCTCAACGATCTCCTTGATGGCGCTCACGCTCAGGATGAGTATGAGCGGCGTGAGCGTGGTCCAGCGGCCGGTGGGCGACAAGTCGGGGATCTGCTGCAGCAGCGCTATAGGCAGGAAAAAGCAGTTGGTAGGCACTTACGAAGTCCTCAACGATCTCCTTGATGGCGCTCACGCTCAGGATGAGTATGAGCGGCGTGAGCGTGGTCCAGCTGCCGGTGGTCGACACGTCTGGGATCTGCTGCAGCCGCGCTATCGGCAGGAAAAAGCAGTTGGTGGGCACTTACGAAGTCCTCAACGATCTCCTTGATGGCGCTCACGCTCAGGATGAGTATGAGCGGCGTGAGCGTGGTCCAGCGGCCGGTGGTCGACACGTCGGGGATCTGCTGCAGCCGCGCTATCGGCAGGAAAAAGCAGTTGGGCACTTACGAAGTCCTCAACGATCTCCTTGATGGCGCTCACGCTCAGGATGAGTATGAGCGGCGTGAGCGTGCTCCAGCGGCAGGTAGGCGACACGTCGGGGAACGATGCAACCGCGCTATTAGCAGGAAAAAGCAGTTGGTGTGCACTTACGAAGTCCTCAACGATCTCCTTGATGGCGCTCACGCTCAGGATGAGTATGAGCGGCGTGAGCGTGGTCCAGCGGCCGGTGGGCGACACGTCTGGGATCTGCTGCAGCCGCGCTATGGGCAGGAAAAAGCAGTTGGTAGGCACTTACGAAATCCTCAACGATCTCCTTGATGGCGCTCACGCTCAGGATGAGTATGAGCGGCGTGAGCGTGGTCCAGCGGCCGGTGGGCGACACGTCGGGGATCTGCTGCAGCAGCGCTATCAGCAGGAAGAAACAGTTGGAGTACCGCCGGAACTGCTCGAACAGGAACAGCGGGATGAACGACGGGACGCTGCCAACAAAAACATTGTTTTCAATACTCAAATCCAAAACGATTTTGCTATAGTGCCAACCTTACGGTTTATATGAGAGGTAGACATTTTTGACCAACGCACTAACAAATAAATTAATATTTCCAACACTCGCACCAATTAGGATAGCTCCAAAGTAAGCACTGTAAGGCTTGTGTTATGGGATAGTAGAGTAACGGATAGAATACATACAGTATGACATATACATATACAGGGTGATACAAAAATACAAATAAAGCTTGAAGGGCGTTGAAGTACATCATATAAGGAGTCTTCTCTAATTTTCTTAAAATATTTGCATGATGTTTTAACTTTTTATTAAAACAAGTTTTTTTCATGATGTTCGAACTAGTGACGTGTCTCAAAATGATCGATATTTTTTTTAATCATTAAAAATAACTGTTTTTATAAAAAGTTAAAACATCATGCAAATATTTTAAGAAAATTAGAGAAGACTCTGTATATGATGTACTTCAACGCCCTTCAAGCTTTATTTGTATTTTTGTAACACCCTGTATATGTATACAGGGTTAATTTTAAAACACCAACAACCTCGCGAATAAGAAATCTGCTGTTTCATACATTTCGTTCGATTAGCTGATGCATTTTGTATGAAACAGCATATTTTTTTTTCGCGTTTTCCGCGTTGGTCCCATAATAAAAGTTGTTTCTGTTGATGGGTAGAATCACCCCCTAAGAGGTTGTTGGTGTTTTAAAATTAACCTCTATTCCATCCATAGGGAAGGCCTGTGCCCCAGCAGTGGGGACATTAATAGGCTGATGATGAATGAAGTATATTTATATAGAAATACATATTAAACATCCATGACTGGAGTACAAATGCTCGTATTCATCACACAAACATCTGCCCGCACCGGGATGCGAACCCTCTCGAGTCGGCGACACCATGAAACCCGGCGTACAAACCACTCGGCCACGAAGGTCGTCAAATAGAATAAAAACATAAGGCATTTCATTCTATGTAATTTATTATTCCATCAATTTGTTAAAAGAGATGAGTACATAATACATATACAGGTTGGTCCAATTAGTGAAGTCAACAATTTTTTTAGACTCCTCGTACCTGGGGTTGTCCGAAAATAAATTTTAGCCAGAAACTATGGAAACTCCTTTTGTATTTTTAAATTGAAATTGAATGTTCGAGTAAATCCTACTAAAGTTCCAACTTTCAAGCCTTTTATGAGTAACTTTAAGTAATTTCAGGAAGCTGAGTTATTTTTTTTTATTAAAACAACATTCAAGACAATTGTGTCACAAAAAGACTGCAAAATACCTACTACGAAAAAAGATATGAATCTTTGAAACCTCGCTGGCAGAAATCATTAAAAATACACAGAAAAAAATATAACTCGAAAACTAAGAAAAATCGCTGAACATACATGGGGTATTTTCGGATAACCCCAGGTGCGAGGAATCTAAAAAAAATGTTGACGAGACTAATTGGACCACCCTGTATGTAAAGAATGGACTAATCAACTGTTAACTAGAACTAGACAATAGGCAAATAAGCGCAAGAGAGATGAAACAATCGGCCGGCTTATTTTTCTCTCTTCCTGGAGTATTGTCAATTTGGCACGGCACTGCCCGACTGTCAGCGACTGACGCGGCACCGTGCCGCACTTTGGCACGTGAGGCCAGACCTAAAGCGGATACTCCGGTTGAAGTAAAAACCCGTCTGGGCAATATCTTACATAGTAGAAACAGCCAAATACTCTTTAAACTTCAGTATCTCTTATCTATTAGACAAGTCCGTCCGTCCGTCCGTCTGTGGTGCTGTTTCAGCGGCCAAACCGTAAGAGATAGATAAAGAGAATATTTAAGTTATAAGTTAAGAATAGTCTGATAAGACTACAAACCGGATTTGAGTAACGTAGCACTTCCGGTTTTCGAGAAATCACGAATTTCAAACGAAACCACACAAAATCTCCGAAGTTCTCAATTAATTAAATACATTTTTTTTTGTTTTAGGTTTTGGTGAACATTTGGTTCACTGGTTTCCTAATTGTTTACTTAATTTAGGCTGTTATAGGAACTTAAAAAGTCTTACTTAAACAGCGTCATTTATTTGCAAATATACGGCGCGGCGGCTGAGGAGCTCGATGGCGCAAGTGGTTAGCGCGTTCGGCTGCGATCGTTGAACTTAAGCAACATTCGCAGTGGTCGGTCATTGGATGGGTGACCAAAAATTACTATCTCGAGCTCCTCCGTGCTTCGGAAGGCACGTTAAGCCGTTGGTCTCGGCTGTTTATGCAGTCGTTAGAACCCACCAATCCGCAATGGGCCCGCGTGGTGGATCATGGCCCAATCTCCATCCATAGGGAAGGCCTGTGCCCCAGCAGTGGGGACATTAATAGGCTGATGATGATGATGATACGGCGCGGCTTGTACTGAGCAAAACCAACGAAAATTTTAGGCAAAAGTGTTTTTTCTCCCTCACCTGTTTTTTTTCATACAGAGTTGTCCGATTGAAAAATGACTTTAATAAAATAAAAAAGATAATTATATGATATATTGGCATTGGCATTGGCACTCTATAAATATCCGCACAATATAGTACAAAGTCAAATCTCCCTTCAAGAGATTTTTATTATCTCGTTAAAACTTTCCCAGAAAACTTTTTCAGAAATTGGTGCAAACAAATTTGCGCGCAGATGTAACATAAATTATATTATTCACCAATATTTGGAGTTGACTCCTTAAGAATCGATTTGCATATATAAGGGGTCCGGTATGAGAAAAATGTGAGGAGTAAAATCTATCGATGAATGACCACGTTACGTTTTTGGTGCGCATCCTCCTATGTCGCGCAACTTTGACAAACAAAGACGACGGATTGACATTAATAAAAATTTTAAAATCTGAACTGAATTTAGATATTGTTTCTGATAGATCAATGGGGACAACGAGGTATGGTACAACCATTGATGCGGTATTTTCAAGATTCGTAAACCACATATCTACGAACGTCCATGTGTTTTATTTTAGTTAACATAAACCACTTGTCACTGTAATTAATAATGCAGACAATGTTGATTTAATTAATATTTAAAAAAATGATAATAGTCTGATAATAATAATTACATAATTTATCAACATTCCTGATGATATATTTATGCACATCTGAAATTGACTATTGTAAAAAGTTTAATATAAAATATTTTGTCGATTAGTTATAATAAATGTATATGAAATGAATAAATATATATTTATATATGTATATTATTTTCATTAATTTGTTAATTTACCCTTTCACACAGTATCAATCTTTTTTAAGTTAAATAAACTCTTTTTTAGTCTGGTTAGACTATCGAACTTAAGGAGTAAACTCCAGTCGTGCGTCGGAGCTGACACACACAATTTTTTTATTTATCTCACACAAAGATTGTTTTCCTAACAAATTATAGCCCGACCTAGACCGTGACTTACTCTATCGCTGTAACAACAACTGATAAAGAGGTAAATAAAAGTTTGTAAAAAGGATTATCAAGAACGCCAAATTTTGAATGCCACTTGGAGTTTTCATAGTGTAAATTTTATACCACTAAAAAGTAAATTGAAAAACGGCAGCGGGAATTCTTTCACAACTTGTCTAAATATAACATTAAATTATACAAGCCCAAGAAATAAAAGTGTGTGCTGTGTTAGTGTTTGTTTACAAACATATCATAAGAAAATGCATTGCATGGTAACCGTGCCGTGGCGCAAAGCGGGCATATTGCCAGATACGATATACCACTTTAGTAGGAGTATATAGCTAATGAATTGTGTATCCATCACTCTCACTGCCATCACTTTAGAGAGGTATTATCATCATCATCAGCCTATTAATGTCCCCACTGCTGAGGCACAGCCCTTCCCTATGGATGGAACAGGAAGATTGGGCCATGACCCACCACGCGGGCCCAGATTGGCGGATGCTAACGACCTCAGATGCAGCCGGGACCAACGGCTTAACGTGCCTTCCGGAGCACGGAGGAACTCGAGATAGTAAATTTTTGGTCTACCATCCAATGACCGATCACTGCGAAAGTTGCTTAACTTCAACGATCGCAGCCGAACGCGCTAACCACTTGCGCCATCGAGCTCCTCGAGAGGTATTAATATAATTCTAAATTTATATTTTATATTTCACCTTCTTATACTAATTATGCTGGAAATACGTTCATGCGGCGGGCTTGTATGTACTGCAATGGTTTTTTGGGAGATGTTGATGTGTTTTTCCTTTCTTTAAATATGTATAAAAAATTGGTGGGCCAACATGTAAAGCCAGAAACATATTAACGTGTCGTGTCGTGTCGTGGCGCGCCAGAAGCACATCGGTTTCATACATTTACTATGGTTAGAGACATACATATATTTACGTATCGTGTCGGATCGACGCTTTAACCCCTCTATCTCTCTCTAACCCATAATAAATTTATGAAGCGTGTGTGTTAATGTGTTTCTGGCTTAATGCGATGAGCGAGAGTTCGGAGTATTGGTCTGTTGAGTCAGAGACCAGCATCTGTGTTGGTGATTGATACTGCAGATTGGAGGTTTGTCCCTTCGTTTATTGCATTATACCATTTGGCTCAAAAGTTGTACTGAATTTTTTTCTAAATTATGGTGTTATTCCACTTCTATTAAGTTCATTATTATATAAGTCAGTTCATATGTTATGGAACTGTTAGGTCAGTTTGTTACCATGAAATTGTTCATATGTTATTATGTATGACTGTTTGTTCCTTAATAAATAAATAAAATAAATAATTGGTAGCAAGTTTAGTACAACAAATAATCCGCTTTAACTGGAACACTCGCCTGGAGAAGTATTTTCGAAATACCACTAAAAACATTCTATTGTTTAGTTACAGTCATCCCATAATACTAAAGTATGGACTCTTAGGGGCGAATTTACCTTAGGGCCAAAGGGACCATGGCCCGGGGCGGCAAGCTCGGAGGGGCAACTGCAAGAACTGTT